GGGGGGTAAGGAATAGAGAGAGGGAAAGGACCACCTAGCTATGCATCTGTACTGGCTTGAATAGTGTCCCCCAAAATTCATGCCCATTGGAACATCAGAATGTGTCCTTACTTGGATATAGGGCCTTTGCACTTGTCATTAGTTAGGATGAGGTCATACTGGGTTAGGGTGAGGCTAAATCCAATATGAGTTGGGGTCCTTACAATAAGAAAAACCACTATGAGAGAAAATGAAATCCAGAACCACACTCCAACTCTTATACAAAGCAGGTAAAGGCTTTAGGTACCGTGTTTACCCGAAAATAAGCCCTACCCATAAAATAAGCCCTAGCAGGATTTCTAAGCATTTGCGCACATAGAAGCCTACCCTGAAAATAAGCCTTAGTGGATGGCGCGGTGTAGTGGTGGGCGTGGCTATGAAAATCAGCCCTGGTGATGGGCGTGGCTATGAAAATCAGCCCTAGTGATGGGCATGGCTATGAAAATCAGCCCTGGTGATGGGCGTGGCTATGAAAATCAGCCCTGGTGATGGGCGTGGCTGCGCAGCGCATCTGCACAACCCATGCATGTCGTCGCGGAGCGGGAAAGAACATGAGCAGCCCTTCTCATCTGCCCCATGGTGACAGCGACTATCCCAGAGGTGACTGGAAAGGTGCGGGCAGCCCCACCAACAAGGTTGGCTCCCCTTGTCAGGTCCTGGCCATCCTGTGCGTGCTGCAAGCTGAGGCTTTGAAGGGAAAATAACACATCCCCTGAAAATAAGCCCTAGGGTGTCTTCTTGAGGAAAAATAAATATAAGACCCTGTCTTATTTTGGGAGAAACAGGGTACCTATGAAGAACTGGACCCACAGATCATTCACTATGGAAATTCCTTGCTGGCCTCCCATTAGCAAGGACATGCAAAGCTACAGTAATCAAAACAGTGTGGTACTGGCATGAAAACAGACAAGCAGACCAATGAAACAGAACAGAGCCCAGAAATACATGGTGATCTGATCTTTGACAAGGGTGTCAAGGATACAAAACAGGGAAAAGATAAACTCTTCAAGAAATGATGTTGGGAAAACTTGATAGCCACATGCAAAAGAATACATGTGACCTTTATCTCACAACATACATAACAATCAAGTCAAAATGGATTAAAGGCTTAAATACAAGACCCGAAACTATAAAACTCATAGAAGAAAACAGGAAAATCTTGACATTGGCCTATGGGAATTATTTCTTGGTTATAATACCAAAAGCATAAGCAACAAAAGCAGTGAGAAACAAGAGGAATTACATTAAACTAAAAGCTTCTGCACAGCACGGGAAACAATCAACAAAATGAAAAGGTAGTTTACAGAATGGGAGAAAATACTGTATATCTGATAAGGGGCTAATATGCAACACATATAAGGAAGTCCTATAATTCAATAGCCAAAAAAGCAAATAACCTGATTCAAAAATGGGTAAAATACCCGAATAGACGTTTCTCCAAAGAATATATACAAGTGGCCAGTCGGTGTTTGAAAAGGTAGTCAGCATCACTAATCCTCAGGGAAATACAAATAAAAACCATAATGAGATATCACCTCATACCTGTTAGGATGGCTATTATCAAAAGACAAATGATAAAAAAGTGTTGGATGTGAAGAAAAGGGAACACTTGTATACTGCTCATGGGAATGTAAATTGGTGTAACCATTATGGAAAACAGCATGAAGATTCCTCAAACAAATTTGAAAATAAAACTACCAATATGATCCAGCAATCCCATTTCTGGGTATATAGCCAAAGGGATAATGTACTGTCTAATAATTTGGAAATTAAAAATCTGGAAAAGATGTCTAGAATTCCCTTGTTCATTGTAGCATTATTCACAATAGCCAAGACATGGCGGCAGCCTAAATATCCATCGATGGATGAACGGATAAAGAAAATGGGGTATATCCATACAATGGAATATTACTCAACCTTGACAAAGAAGAGACTCCTGCCAAATGCAACAATACTGATGAACCTGGGGGACGTTATGTTATGCCAAATGGCCTGACGCAGAAGGACAAATACTATATGACCCCATTGATATGAAGAATCTAAAATAGTCAAACTCACAGAAGCAGAGTCCTACTGAATGGTGGCTGCCTGGGAAGGGGGGAGAGGGAAATAGGGAGATATTGGAACAAAGGGCGTAAAGTTTCAGTAACGCAAGACGAATAAGTCCTAAAAATCTACTACTTGGCATGCTCACATAGCTAATACTACAGTGTACATGTAAAAATTTGTTAAGAGGGTAGATCTTCTGTTAACGGTCCTTATAACAAAATAATAACAACAACAATAAAGAAGGCAGAAGGAGACTTTTGCAAGTGATGGATAGCTTTACAGCAATTATGATGATGATGGTTTCACATATATACCTTATCTCCAAACTCATCAACTTGTGTATATTAAATACGTACAGTTTTTGGCATGCCAATACCTCAATAAAGGAGTTTTTTGGTTTTTTTTTTTTTAACAAAAAAGATTAGGGAGACTTCATTAGAATGCACAACTATCCTATACATTATTTCTAGTACTGTATTTATATTTATTTCTCTAACCCTTCCAGGTAGTCAGCGGTATCTTCCCCATTTTTCTGACCAGGGAAACTGAGGATTGGCAAGAAGATTGTTTGACCTGCCCAGAGCCTTGCGGTTTCTAAGGGGCGAAGCCGGAGGTCTGACACCAAAGCCCATGCTCCTCCTAGCAAGTCACATCACCTTTCTGACCTTTCAGTCTTAAGGTTTCTTCCGCGTCCGCTCTCTCTGAACAGTCCTGAAACACACAGTGTGTCTGTGCGTGTGCGCGCGTGCGCGAGTGTAGACTCTGCGGAACAGGTGGGTCTGGGGGTGGGGGATCCCCCGAGTGCTTCCTGCGGACCTCGTGTCCTGCAGAGGCCAGTGTCGCTTGGCCAGCCAGCCAGCCCCATTTTCCATTTGGCCTGGCAAAGTGGGCCGCCGGGGTGGCCGGTGTAGACAGGCTGCATGGACGCGCCCCTGCCGAATGGCTTACTGAGTGGCACGCTACACGAATCTTCCCCCTTCCACACGTTCAGCAACAATTATGCGCCGCGGCCACCCTGCTACTCGGGAAATTCCCACGAGCCCCGCAGCAGAGAAGACTCCGAAACCCCAAGACCGCGAGTCTCCGTGTTGGAGGGTGCTGGGAGGAAGGGAAAGGGGGGAAACGAGGAACCCGGAATGCAGACTCGAAGGGACAGGCTTCAGAGAGTGACCGTCCCGAGTCTCTGGTGATCCCGGGCCCCAGACCCTGGGCTTTCCATCCGCCCCTGCAGGGTGACTTCTTGGAACGCAAAGGGGTGGGGACGCGGAGGGTCAGGCGTTAGGGGCTGCCGTGGGTGGCCCGGCGACGGGCTTCTCCCAAGTGTCCCGCGGTAGGAAACTCTGCGTTCCGGATCGCCGGGGCGGCTTCCCCAGGAACGCCCTTCCGTGCTTCGTGCGGGGCCGGGATGGCCCTGCAAAAGCGCCCACACTGCCACCCACTGGCCCCGAGCAGGTGGCACCAGGTGCGGGGTGCCCAGCGCCGGGTCTGGCGGGTAAACTGAGTCCCAAGAGTTCCCTACCCACTACCCCCAGCCGACCTCCCGCGCGCCCCAGCCTGGCGCGCCCCAGTCTCTGCACGCAGCGGGCGGTCCCCGGTCCCCGACGCGGTGGCGACAGGATTCCGGACCCTCCTGGCACCCCGGGGGAGAAGGGCGGCTGCGGCTGTGGCGCCGTTACCCGTCCTGTCCCCTCCTGATCGAGGGACTGGATCCGAGCCCGCCAAATCCCGCAGCTCGGGGGCGGCGCGCCTGTGCCCGGGCCGGTGCCCGCCGGTCGGGGAGTTTGCGCGGAGGGAGGGGACCCGCGAGTGTCCGGCACCCGCGTGAGCGCGGGCCCCGGGCTGACAGCGCTCGGGACGCGCGATGGTCCCCGCCACCCACCGGCCGGTCGCCTCGCCGGGGACCGAGCGCGAGTCCCGGCGGGACGGGGGGCCAGGACCGGGGCGCGCGGCGGGGACGGGGGTTACGTCGGGCCGGGCGAGGCTGCCGCGCGGTCCTTGCAGCCGCGGGTCCCCGAGGGGCTGGCCCCGGCCGCGCCCTCCGCAGCCCGCACCGGCGCCCGCGCGCAGCCGAGCGCGCTGGGCGTGCGGGGCAGGGACTCTGCGGGAGACGCGGCGTCGCCCCAGGTCGGCACGGCGGGGTCCGGGGACCGAGTCCACCCGGACGCTGGAGGACACCCCGCCCATGTTCCCCGGAGGGTCTGGACGCGGGGCGCAGAGCGAGCGCGCGGTGGCGAGACCGGAGCTCACCGACGGCGGCCGCGGAGAGGTGGCACCGCGCGCGCGGGCGGTGCGGGCGGAGGAAGGAAGGGCTGAGCCTGGACTCACCGGGACCGCGAGGCCGCCCGACCTGTCCCCCGCCGCCGCCGCGGGTCTCGCGGGCTCCGGGGTCCCGGCTCGGCGACCGCGGCCCTGCGCCCCGGGCGCGGGGGACCGCTCCGCGGAGAGCATGTCGCGCCGCCGCCTCCGTGCCCTGCGCGTCCCGGGAGAGGCGCTGCGGGTGCCGCTCCGCTCGCTCAGGAAGAGCCAAGTCCGACCTCAGGGCACGGGGGCCCCACATTTTGTCTGCGCCGCAGAGCCCACGCGCGGGCCGCTCCCTCCCTCCCCGCCTCCTCCCGTCGCCGGTCCCACCCATCCAGCCCCGGACGCACCCGGGCCCGCGTCCCCACCTCTTCGCGCTCCGACGAGCCACCCTCCTCCGGGCGCGCATGGACAGCCGCCGGGGCCGGCAGCGGGGACGGGACGGCCGAGTCGGGGCTGGGAGCAACAGAGAGACCGTCCTCCCAGGTCCCCATGGCACACCCTGGACCCTTTTTTCTTTGAGCCAGAGCATAGCCAATCACAGATAAAAATAAAAAAATAAAATAAATAAAATAAAAAATCAGCTGCTGGCACTGGCAATTAAAGACCAGGTTTATCTAAAAACAAACAAACAAAAAGAGTTGACGTTTCAAAGGTGACCGTTATTTGCACCAGGCAAGTGGAAACTTGCCTTCTGGAGTTTGTTTAGTGAAGAAACTGCTTTTTGGAAGGCTGCCTTGGGTCTCTGCCCGAGGCGGCAGGGACAGAGGAAGCCAGCCTGCTTCTTCCAGAAACTTCCAGCCTGATCCCTGCCTGGCAAGAGCATCCACAGGCCGAAGCCCAGGGGCAGCAAATCCCCGTCTGTTGTCATTTGCACCAGCAAATGGCGCTTCCCTAACCAGCGGGAAGGAGGGTGCTGGAGGTATTCACCGCCGCCAAGATGATGCCACCACCATTCGAAGCTCAAGTGAATTAAAAAAGAGCCCTCATTGGAGTTTTTCTTAGAAATGATTTTGCATCGAATTTCAATGAAGATCGTAATGGAAATTTCAAGAATTACTAATGGGATTATTGAAAAAAAAATGCACCTCCATTATTTAGAGAAGGACACGACGTATAGTCAACAAATTAGCATCAGGCACCTGTTTCTTGGACGTTATTGCTGGGAAAAAAAGATATACATTTGCAAAACCAGGAGGGAAGTCAGTATTTTGTTTCTGAGATTAGATCTGAATGTAGAGAATGTTGCATAGGTAGAGCAAAATGGTTGAAACACTGATTTCCTGTTATTCTAACATCAGACTCAGTTGCTGTTGCTGAGCAATTTTGTCATACTTCACAAAAATTCGGCTCTTACTGCGTGGTAGGTGTTGCACTAAGCATTTTACATGCATTCTCTCCGTTAGTTCTATCCACCACTTTGAGGTAGGTGCTATTACCATCACTGTTTCAGAGATGAGAAAAAAGCAGACTTAGGGAGTTGAAGTTAACTAGCGTAGGGTTATACAGCTAGCAAGTACCTGGGCTGGGATTCCCAGGAGGCAGTGTGATTTCTAGACTGTTCTTATTTACTAAGATGCTAATCTCATCATATAGCATCACCACATCAACTAGCCTGGAAATTGAGGGCCTAGGAGAGTCACCTGCTAGCTCCACTGTGAGCAAATCACACAGACTTTCTGGGCTCCAGTTAACTTAGTCCATAAAATGAGAGGTGAATTCAATTGCCAAGGTTTCTGCAGGCTTTCTGAAGCCAAGTGTGAGTTTTGTGTTTCATCTGTCCTTTCTCTTCCACCTTCTGCCCTCTGGTGGAGGTGCTACAGGAACTATGAAGTTAAAGTAGCTAAAATATCCACAATGACGGCAGTGGAAGAAAAAAAGAAAAAAAAAATTAAAAAAGATAATAAAGTAGCTAAATCCGTGGATTTGAGATGGCCAAGCTAGATCAGTCTCCCTCATTCTTCCACTGCTATATTGTGTTCCTCTGAGAACTAAAGCTCGTTGCACTAATGGTGTAAAATAAGCATTCGTTAAAGTTCCTCGTAGCAAGAAAACCCAACCAGTTCTAGTTGCCAATAGCACCAGAGTGAATACCTGAGACATTCTTTGCATGAGGGTAACGACATAAAAAACGTGGGCAAACATCTATTTTTATGTTCTTTGTGACAAACTTTTATAACGTCAGGAATCATAAAACTATTAGAAGTCTCATAAAATATTCAAACGAGTTTGAATACGCAGTGGGCTCAGTCATCTTCAATGACTTATTTGAATTATTCCTTTTATAAAAAAAAGTGGCTACATTTGCATTTCAACGTAAAGCGACAACCATCATGTAGTTTCTTACAAAAAGAAACACTTCCAGCCTATTGAAATTTCAACTGTCTAGCATTTCAAGCATACATCCAACTAGTTAGATAATTTAAAAGGAAAAAAACAACACACACAAACCTTAAAGAGATTTAAAATTGGAAAAATGAAAAGCAGTGAATATGCATTGGGAATGGGTGATTTTACCAAGCAAACTTTGGTCACGAATCACGCTGCAGACCAAACGAGTGCTTAGTACTACAACCGAATGCAATTTGAGAACAAGAAATTTCGAGATCTTAGAGAAGCAGGTAGCATCCCAGGGTGATGATAGCAAGCAGTGGCTAAAACAGATAATGCTACCTCAAGATTTATTTGCTTAGCTATTCATTCAACTAATCCTCATTTAGGGTTTGCTAGCTGCCAGATGAACGGAATGGAGTTCCTGCCCTCACTACGCTTTTAGTCTAGTGGAATATATACATTCTACAGGTACACAAATATGTAAACCATGGAAAAATCCTCGCAGATAGTGTGGGAATGGCTTTGGGAAATTAGAATGTACTAGTTTTAGCTGAGATAGCATGATCCAAAGCCTTGAAAAGTAAAAGAAATTTAAAAATAGCAAGAAACAGGCAAACTGGAAATCTACCTGTTACACAGAGAGGGGAGTGTTTATTTAGCTGGAAAAGGTAGTTTACTTAGCTACCCTATTTAGGTAGGGTGTAGATGTTATCATAATATTAATATATTCTAGCCCACTTAAACATTCAGTGTATGATGAAAGTAACTTATGGAGATGTTCTGTTTGTCATACATAACATTTCTGGAACATCAATCCCCTACACTGATACACCATAGTCACTGGAAAGAAGGTAATGAGAACTGGCCTCATAAAAAATTTCAACGGATTTTTATTTTTGGCACTCTTTCACACCTGAGGACCCTCACACAGGAATTTGACTGCTGAAATGCCCCTACCTTGGCCCAGTGTGAATGGGCCCGCCTTGTCCTGCCGGGGGTAGTGTCCCTTGATGTCAGTGACCCGTCACATGTGCAAAAAGTGACAGGCCTCACTTCAAAACAGACTTTTTGATGAATCAATTTCTAGGAGCTAATTCTTCACAGCACCATGAATTAACACATGACCCAAGGCTCACTGGAAAGAAAACTTAGCAGCTCAGCAAACAGATCTGCACTTGCTCAATCAATATACCAAGATTCTAAAATATATGAAACTGACTTCCCAGATGGATACCTGGTCTCTCGTCTCTTAAGTCGTTGGAAAGTAGAGGGTCTCTCCGTTCCTCCCACCACTCCCAAATTCTAAGATGTACCATGTTTCCCCGAAAATAAGACCTACCCATCAAATAAGCCCCAGCAGGATTTCTAAGCATGTGCGCAGTAGAAGCCCTACCTCAAAAATCAGCCCTGGTGATGGGCGTGGCTATGAAAAATCAGCCCTGGTGATGGGCGTGGCTATGAAAATCAGCCCTAGTGATGGGTGTGGCTATGAAAAATCAGCCCTGGTGACGGGCGTGGCTATGAAAATCAGCCCTAGTGATGGGCGTGGCTATGAAAAATCAGCCCTGGTGATGGGCGTGGCTATGAAAATCAGCCCTACTGATGGGCGTGGCTGCGCAGCGTGGCTGCACAACCCATGCGTGTCGTCGTGGAGCGGGAAAGAACACGAGCAGCCCTTCTCATCTGCCCCGTGAGAGCTCTAGTGCTCCACAGGAGAGATCGGGGCCAGTGGTTCTAAAGGAAACAGAGTCGCAAGACATTCAGGATGGGATTCGGGGTTTGGAGAGTGATGATGTTCCAGAAGAAGACGATTTCACTCTATTTGAATCAATGGAGATGGTTGTACCGTACTTAAAAAAAGATAACACATCCCCTAAAAATAAGCCCTAGGGTGTCTTCTTGAGGAAAAATTAATAGAAGACCCTGTCTTATTTTTGGGGAAACACGGTAGTAGCCAGCACTCTGTTTCTTCCTCACTCTGTGAAGCTGGCCAAGCTCATAGGCAGACCCTAAGACTCAAGGTTTAGGGTGGTCTAATCAGTGCCCCTTAGAGGGGAACTTCCACACCCAGAGAAGAGACAGAACTATCTTATTGGAACTCTAGCTTTAGTGCTAAGGCATCTGTCTCACTTCCAAATACCCAAGGACAGGCAGACGTAACAGCTGGGATCACCCGTGTCTTCACAAGTTGTTTTTCCAACTTTCCCCCTTTACTGTCTTATACCTGGTCACAGAAATTTTGGCTCCTGCTGTACCTCTATAGCATTCTTGGTTCAACCCCCACCTAATCCCGTGTTCTTTTGGAGATCAGAGTGTAGTATCTCTCACTGTTTTAATAATCTTGATTACGAAGGGCTGGATGAGGCCCAAGCACCCCAAGACCTGAAGCTCAAAGTCACTCTTGGCAATGAGCTGGATGCCCACATGGGTGACCCTTCTTTGCTACTGCAACTTAACGTGGCTTAATCCTTAGTTGTTTGTTTAGGTGGAGGGACCCACAACACAGATTATATGCACAGTGAGAACGGGGTCTTCTATGCCTCACTCTGCCAGGCATCTAGGCAAAGAAAAAAATATTTCTTGAAGGAAAATGGGACACTTTAAAATAGATCTCAGCTGGGCCGAGGTGGCTCACGCCTGTCATCCTAGCACTCTGGAAGGTCGAGGTGGGCGGATCGCTCAAGGTCAGGTGTTTGAGACCAGCCTGAGCAAGAGCGAGACCCCCATCTCTACTAAAAATAGAAAGAAATTAATTGGCCAACTAAAAATATATAGAAAAAATTAGCCAGGCATGGTGGCACATGCCTGTAGTCCCAGCTACTTGGGAGGCTGACGCAGGAGGATCGCTTGAGGTTGCTGTGAGCTAGGCTGATGCCATGGCACTCTAGCCTGGGTGACAGAGCAAGACTCTGTCTCAAAATGAAATAAAATAAAAAATAGATCTCTCCATATTTTGTCTTAAATATTATATCTATTTCCAAATGAAGTTTGTTTCTGGTATGAGGCATTTGAAATAACAAGTCAAAAAAAATTCTTATAGTAGTCTCTCTCTAAACACCACCAGAGATTTGTCTTTAAAAATTTTAACATTCCTAGCCACCAAGTCCAAGCATCATAGACTTCTATACAGAAAGCAAAGGTTTTCAACATTTTGCTTCAATAAAATTCCTTTGGCAATGTCAGTAGCAATCATGCCTATCTGAGATTGCTTGAACTTAATTTAGATGTGAATAGTGAAATTAACTGAAATACAAATACTGGGTGCTGGTCAATCTCTACAAGTGTTTAAACTGAGAAATCTCAAAGCTTTCAGTACAGGTCCCACAAATTCCAAAACAGTAAGCTGATAAACTTTAGTTAATGTCACAAAGTAGGGAAATAAGACCATTACATTTGCGATTTTATCTGCCATTTTTAGCAGCTATTTGGTAACTTTTCCCGTCCCTCCTTTCATTGCCTCCGGACTCAAGCAACAAGGACAAGACGCACCACTTTATTTCCGTCGGAACAAATCAGTGTACGCGTTCAGACAAAATTTAACTTCATCTTGACCTCAAAGAATGCATTTATCTCCTCTGCCCTGTTTCGTTCATCCCACCTCCGCAGCTCATGCAAGCAGTTCCTGCAGCAGTGGGAGCCCTGGGAACTGGAGCCCTGGATCACAGCACTCCCAGCACTCTAGCCCGCACTGCCTCCCCCAGCGCTCGTCCCTCCCCTGCCGCCTGGGCCCCTTGTATCTTTTCTGCAGTCTTAAAACAACAACAAAAAGTCTTCCCTGCTTAAAACCCTCCAGTATGGTCCACTGACTGGAGTGGACTGGATTTGCATGAAACTCGAACCCCGTACCCTGGTCTATGAAGGACTGTGTGAGCTGGGCTGGACACAGCCCCTCTCAATTTCAGTGTCATGGAGCTCCAGCCACACCTGCCCTTCCCTCTGCTCCTCAGCGGTGCCAGACACCTCCCAAACTCAGGGCCTTCCCCGTGCTGAACTAGCCAATGCCCCTTCACCCCTACTGCCGCCACTTCTATACCAGTTCTCTGTTTTTCACCCCACTTATCACACGTACGTTTATGTTCATTTCTCATGTGTCTGTTTCCTCTCTTCTGCTCCTTAGCTGCAACCGGAGAGGAAAGGTCACTGTTTTCTCTGTTACCCAGGAAGTTCCTGTCTTATGGGAAACACACCTGTTGCTGATTGAATAAATGAAGAAATAGTTGTGTGACTCTGGGTAAATTAATTAAGCCCTGAGCTAGCCAAACAAAAAAATTTATTAATTTATCATTCAATCGCTTTCAGCTCCTAAATTCTTCCCCACAAATTGGAAAAAAAAGAAGAAAAACCTTAGTAAGTACAAGGGCCAGCAAACAACAGACATGAACTAGGCATCAGGCTTACTAGGCTAAGATTCTGAAGTACGTTGAGAATGCCTTCCCACAGACACCTGGCTGTCTATGTTCCTTAGAACCAACTTTAGTTACAGCAGGTAGTAACTGGGGTGTAGCCGATCTGATTTAGAGTTTCAGAAATGTCAACCCTGTAACTCTACCATTGGGAAAGGTAAAAAAAAAAAAAGAATCTAAAATCCAAACACAAAGCCATAGAGAAAGGAATGACTGTCCTTTAATTCTGGATACCAGCCAATACTTAATTAATGATTACAACACTAAAACATTTTGAGTTAAATCCAGCAACATTTTAAAATCCTTTCTACTTCTGTTTAAAACACACTTCTATCACTTTTTAGAATCTATCAACTACTGTGTTCTGCATCATGGATTAGAGTTTTATACAGATACTAATGCCTAACCTAAAATTATAGGCTCTTAAGATATTTTAGGTACTAATAAATATTCTAGATTATAAATTTGGCATGAAAAATTTTTAATGAAACATTAATCATACAAAAATAGCAAAACTATTTAAAATGAATTACAATTCAGAGAGATTTCACTTACTAATATTTCCTTATCAGTTTGTTTTTAGAAGCTGATTTTTTCCAGCTTAAATATTTATGATTGTGGTAAGGAGAAATGAGAATAAAGTACATAAAGCTCATAACCCTGTGCTCAGCACATACTGTTGATAAATATTGGTTTTCCTTTTATTATTGTTTTAGAAAGACACAAGATTACAAAACATGTCAACTTCAGTTAAAAGCTTCTTACACAAGAAACAGCCACATGTGAGGAATCTAACCTGGCATTTGTTGAAAACAACTACATTCTTGGGAAACATACCACATGAAATTTATTTCAGTGACTGAAGAAAATCCTAACTAATAAACCAACTTCTGGAATCTAATTATATAGATTCATGTTACAATTTAAGAGGTCTTTTAGAGAATCGCTTTTTTGAAAAAGTACAAAGTTACATGATCAAGAAAAGTACTCTTTAATAAGTAACCAAAGCATTGAGAAATATTCCTCTTACTACACATATGGCTCAGTTTCATCTAAATTTTACCAAAAAAAAAATAGATTGTTGGTTTGAAATACTCAATGAAACAACTAAGTTGATGCAATGAAACCCAATGAACAACAAACACGTTACTCTGCTACTAGCTAAGCCTTGTGAAATACTTTATGATTTCTGTCATGCTTTGACTTGATAGTGTCACACTGCCCTTTCTACTACACTAAAGTCCGGGTAAAGCTCAGCATTCTGTCCTTCTAACAACAGCTGGAAGAGAATACAGAGATGAATGTGTGAATACATATCATGTTCTACAATACACATTTTCTAATATTCCAAATTTAACAATTTAACTAAATCCAATCTGAGGTATATTGAGAGATCAAAACTTTTTTTAATCCATATCATAGGCGATGTACCATGCAAACACTGCAACCGAAACTCCGCACACTGAAAGGAGATGATATTTATATTTTTGCCATAGCGACAGCTCAACTGCCACTTCGTCTCTTTTCCTGTTCTTCTTCCGACGACCCTTCAGTCTGTTTTCAAAAGCCTCCAGTTCAGCCTAAACCAAAACAGTATCATTTTTATTAAATTCAATATATACATTTATTTTTATTCAAATGAAAAGTTTCAAATCAATTTGGGAAATGTTTTAATAGTAATGGCATATAATAAACACATTGATTTGACTTTTTTAAAAAACCTTCTCTCCACTGCTAATTATATTCAACAAATTCAGAGTTCAGGTAAGCAGAAAGGGAACTGGGGCATAATCAAAGAGATTATTTCAAACTGTAGGCCTGACTTCAATCCTAAGTATTAAATGTCTGATTAAATGTCTATTAAAAATCTAAAATATTCACATTGGTTTTATACTTTAACACCATTATACTTCAACACCATAATTATAGAACCAGGGTTTTACACAGCTTCTAGCAAGTGCTAAGACAGACCTAGTAAGAATAAAGATACCTATAATTCTAGTTTTTTACAATGTGAGTACTAAACATGAGTGGTTTATCAGGAAGAAATTCAGGTAAGAGAAAAAAACTGCCAGAACTTGATTCTTCTCTTTATCAAATACATTTAAAAACATACAGTAAAAATTCTCCAAGGGAAAAAATGCTTCATCCTTTAAATCAAAATGACAAATTTAGAAAGAAAAATTAGAAACTGGTTCTAAAAAAGGATAAGTGAATTACATCCATTATCAAATGTGGATTTTTATTCTACTGCTAAGAACTTATTAAATTTTTATACATGATAATGTAATATAATACACTATAGTGCACAGTTATTAACTGAAAAATATATATAATATTCATATAAGACTCTTCAAATGTTTATTTAATAGAAGGAAATGTAAACTTCATTTAGTGTATCTATTCCTGTGGCCATAAACCACACGTGAAAAAGACCAAATGATATCCTGTATTATCATTTGTATTAGTTTAATACAACGTAGCATTCTTCAATGAGCCAAAATGTCAGGATCTCCCAAGTGGTTGGGCTAGTGTATATAGAAAAAAGTCAAAATATCAAACAGCAGCCAAACTGGAGGACCACTGATATAATAACTGATGTTTACATGATGAGACACAGTTATTAAAGTAAATATTATATCCTAATTTATCCCTGTATCCCCTGGGGATTGGTTCCAGGATACCCCCAGGATACCAACATCCATGATGTTCAAGTCCATTACACAAATGATGTAGCATTTGCATATAACCTCCCGTATACTTCAAATCATCTCTAGGTTACTTATTATAATACTTAATACAATGTAAATGCTATGTAAATGGTTCTTTTACTGTATTTTTTATTTATATTAATTTTATTGTTGTTTTTAAAAAAGTTTTTTTCCCCAAATATTTTCCATCCTTGGTTGATCGAATAGGCAGATTTTGAATCTACAAATGTGGAGGGCCAACTGTATTCTGGTTAAAGAATCAGTAAACCGGGAATATATTTAAGATTTTTATTCATAATGGTATATAAAAAGGTAGGGAAAGGGGTGGGGAGGAAACCCCCTAAAGTATTCTTGATAATTTCATTTCCCTGGATTCCAGCCAACCTATGTTCTACCATATTAGCTGGATAATTTACTTTGGGGATATTAGGCAAATCAAGTTTAAAAAACCATAAAATACCAGGTTATCTTGGCTAACCTTTATTTGCTACATGAATTGTTTCTAAATCTCCTCACAAGTCATGCAAGTTTCTAGTTCCTCATTCATAATAGCAGTAGTTTAGCATATAATTCAATCTGCCTGATAAGCATATAGCGTCTCAGAATGCAAGCTGACAAATAATTACACATCACAATGTTAAGCTACTCTTTGAGATATACTATCAACACAGTAAATACTGTGAGCAAACGGAGGGCATCAGGAATGTACGTGTTATCTTAGGTAATAAGGAAGAACAGGTAATAATCCTGCATTTAAGGATCTAATATAGAAATAAGGGAATGTATTATTAAAACATATATTAGTTAATAAACAGCACTTATTTGTTACAGATGATCTGCAACTCAGTAAAACAGAAAAATACTTTTACATGAGTAAAGACAGGGGCTTGAGGAGATGCCTTACAACAATGACAACACCCTCCCTCCCACTCCTCCACCAAAAGAGGAGTTAAAACTCTTATGGATAGAGAATAGATGAAATTGGCAAGGAAGTAAATTGGGAATATACAAAATATTTGAGAATTTATGAGATCTCATGCCTCCCATGAAGTAAGTAGATGGTTCATTGTTGTTTTATAGAAACTGTAATTTTCAATTTAGAATAGAGCTGACTAGCCCTAGTTTGAACTTAGAAAATACTTGTGTCTGCACAAAACAATGAAGCCAAGAAACACAAATCTGAGCATTTTGTTAAATTACCTGTTGTCTTCGTTTTTCCTCTTCAAGAGCAGCTTTGGCTTCTGCTTCTTTTATCTGTTTATACACATTTAAAAGTAAGTTAACGATTTAATCATCATTTTTTTTCTTTTTTCTTTTCTTTTTTTGAGACAGGGTCTCGCTCGGTTGCTTGGGGCTAGAGTGCAGTGGCATCATTATAGTTCACTGCAACTTCGAACTCCTGGGCTCAAGCAATCCTCCTGCCTTGGCCTCCCAAAGTGCTAGGATTACAGGTTTGAGCCACCATGCACCTAGCCTATCAAATTTTATATAGAATGTAACATCTTCATATCCAGGCTCCACTAAACCCATAGCAACTTTAGGGAGCCTTATATCTGAAATCATTTAAAGAAATGTAAATGTTATATTGAGAAGTTTCACTAAGACACTTGGTGAGGAACCTGCAGCCTTAAGGCCATATGTGGCCTTCTATTACTAGATCCTTAAATGCAGCCTTTTGAATGAATTCAAATTTTACAGAACAAATCCTTTTATTAAAAGGATTTTTGTGGCACAAACAACAAAGAATTCCAATATCTTATTTCTGTATTATTTTAACTTAATTTTCAGGAGGCGTATGCCAACACTAAAACAAACGACTTCATCCGAGAGCAAATACGCTAACTGGTACAGAGGACAAAAAGCCTAGTTACATGGTAGGCAATGAAACACACCCTAGGATTCAAAATCGGCCGATAAAGCTAGGCTTTCGTTACAAAAGCAAAGAGATTTCAAGCTGTTTTCAATAAAGCCATAAATAAGTAGGGAAAGGCTACTGGCACATTAAAAATGATATTTAATGAGACATTACCTCAGATGCTTTCCGCTTCATTTCTTTGCATGTTGTATCACATTCTACTGAAACCTGATTTTCACGTACTTTATTGCATTGCAATTCCTACAAATAACCCAGATTTCAAATTTTAAATGATCTTTCCCTTAACATCTTAACTACATATAATAAAAAAGCAAAATTTATCTAATAGTTTAAGGTCATATTATTTAACAGTCATGTTCATTCATTTCTAATGGTGATATGGTTGTAAGCATCATTAAATACCTACTTCAAATAGTGATTACTCCTTTATTAAGTGAATAAAATAACCCATTATTTACTAAGTGGCACTACTGGACTTAGCTCCAATTTTATTTTTATTCTTTACTTTTCTGTATTGTTTCTTGTTATTCTTATAAAGCTTCCAGGGAATACAATGTTCTAGAGCAGTGCTGTCCAACAGAGCTTTCTGGGTAATGGGACTGTTCGGCACCTGCACCATCTCTAGGATGAAGAATCACTGAAGAGTTTAGACCAGCTGGGTAGCATGATCGGAGGCGAGGAAATCAGTAAGAAGTTTTGCTAAGGCCTAGGAAAGAGTTGTTCCAAAGTACTAATGGGTGCCAAAAGGCACTTGGATAAGACATGCTATTTCAAAGAAAATTTCAGACACATCTCAGATTAAAAGTGGCTTGACTATTGATTTTCACATAAAAATGGTCAATTTAAATATCTAAGATGTACAGATCCCAGGCTCTAAGAAGTCACGCCTACAAATGTAAATTCAGAAGTTAGCCACCCCAGGAAAATATACCAGGAACTCTGAAAAAAGCAAAAGACCTATAAAAGATCCTCAATGAATATCTCAGTAAATGAGTAAATTTAAAGAGAAGAAAAAGGATACTAGCTTTAGGGAATAACCACAGGAATATGAAGAACAAAATGAGTTACAACTATAATTGAGATCAGGTAAATCAGAGGTTAAAAAACTTAGTTTCAAAGGAGTCAACTTTGCCAACAGGGATGGTTCAAGGAAAATGAGAATGGAAAAAAAGACTATTGGGCCATCATATTTTCCTTCATAAATAAGTTCTGTTTAATGGTATATAGTTTGTTTCCATTGGGCCTTCCAATCATTAGTTTTCACTCATTTATTCCTTTGGTATATCATTATTTTAAAATTAATTCTTTCCAAGTTTAATGTTATTTTATTTTATAAGACTGTACACATAAGGCCTTTTTAAGGCAAAATTTTCAAAGGATAATCCTGATGGCAAAAAGATGGTTTCATAAATAAGAGCAAATTCCAGACCATTTCTTAAACCATGTGACTCACTTTATCACTCACATTGTGTTCCTTGTTCAGACCTCAAATCCAGAGCACACTGACTTTATCCAAAAAAGGGCACTGAGTTTGGTTTCAACATAAAACAATCTTTCTTCTGCTATTAAGTTACAGAAAACTAAATAACCAAAGCTGATTTTTAAAATAAGCAGTTATAGACATTGATAGGCTTATTCTAATTATAAAAAAGTCTATGAAATAAAACCTTAAAATTAGATGGCAAAAATAAAATCAAAGAACTACCAGAACATATATACCAAACCAAACCGAACAAAAACAACTTACATAGCAAAGTATTTTCAATAACTTAAATATTTACCTTTTTTATTCTTTTACAAGGACATCTAAGTTTTACCTTCTGGTTGCAATTAAAGGGACATTCACCAGGATGACACATCTCTTTGCATCTATGACCACAGGGAAGCTTAAATAAAACGAACATAGAGCAATTACACATTTACAGTTTGGTGATACTCTACCTCCCCCCTCACCCCAGCAACTATTTTAATAATCAATCCTAGCTAATGGGCTAATTTGTCAACTATTTTTCTTTTAGATATAAATTACTTTAATTATACAAAAATTTTTTTGCAGCGTATTATGGGGGTACAAAGGTTTAAGTTACATATGTTGCCCATGCTCTCCCTCCCCCCTTGAGTCAGAGCTTCAAGCGTCACCATCCCCCAAATGTTGCACATCTCACTCATTATGTTTGTATATACCCATCCCCTCCTCTCTCCTCCCACCTGCCCAACACCCGACAAATGTTATTCGTTTATGTCCACTTAGGTGCTGAGCAGTTAATACCAATTTGCTGGTGAGTACATGTGGTGCTTGTTTTTCCATTCTTGGGATCCTTCACTTAGTAGAATGGGCTCCAGCTCTATCCAGGAAAATACTAGGGGTGCTAGATCACTGTTGTTTCTTAAAGCTGAATAGTACTCCATGGTATACATATACCACATTTTATTAATCCGCTCATGTATGGATGGGCATTTGGGTTGTTTCCACATCTTTGCAATTGTGAATTGTGCTGCTATAAACATTCGAATGCAGGTGTCTTTTTTGTAGAGTGTCACTGGATCTTTTGGGTAGATGCCCAGTAGTGGGATTGCTGGATCAAATGGTAGATCTACTTGTTATCACTTTAAGGTATCTCTATATTGCTTTCCACAGAGGTTATACAAAATTTTTAAATATTCTCCCCAGCTTTACCCCAAGAGTACGTCTTACAGCCACCCGTGTAACTAGTTGTAGCCACGTGACTAAGTTCTGGCCAATAGAGGCACGCACACGGCAGGAGCACACACACACACACACACACACACGCTTATTTTGTAAATAACCTAATGGATTCACTGTCTACCTGCTTATGACCCACATAGTTCTCAATCTATTTCTATTTTAAGTCTGAACCACATTTGGGGGGATAAGCACTTTGTCAATATTTTATTATATAAAGTACGTAAGCGAGCTTTATAATTTCTTTCTCATAAAAAAATCTTCAAAGGGTTATTCCTAGTTCTAACATCCCCAAATTACATAAAATGAAGTGCATCTACTCTAACCTTATGCATCACATGTATACAGACATGAATCACATCCCACTAGAGTGTGGGTCGAGAAAAGATCTGAAATAAGACAACCAAGCAAGAAAAAAGAAAATCTAAGAGAACAATGCCTAAGGTACAAAATTTAAAAGGTTCTATTAAAGCTTACCTCTTTAGGGCACTGATTTTTGCAACAACTGAGGAGATTCTTTTCATTTATATCAGCTGTGGTTATTTTTCTAAAAAAAAAGAGAAAGTTTTGATGACATTCAAACCAATGCCTATCTGCTACCATATTTTTCCTAAAAGCAACTCACACTTTCAAACATATCCATAAAATTATTATATTTATTTATTTCCTCAAGAATTATTTTAATTATTTCTCTATCTGTAATAATTATCTTCAAATTACGTAACTGTTCTGATAACTCATACCATCCAGGCTCTATCCCTAACAAGTCAAATGTCAAAAAGGTAATCGCCGTAAGAAAGTGCAAAACACACAAACACCATCTGTGCGTGGCCTCTCTTTAACAGTTCCTGCTACTACCTTTCCGTTCAGACCAATCATTATAACTCATAATTACTACTCTTCTTAATGCCCTTACACAAAAAATTTAAAACTAGTCATTTAATATGTTTAAACTGAGGAATTCAGGCTCTTCAGTGGGAGATACAATTAGCTTACTTAAAACAGAGAAAATTTTCAAAAATCATAAGCAACTACTTTGTAAACATCTAAGCAAATAAATTTGAAAAGCCTAGATGAAATAGATAATTTCTGAGGAAAATATATTTTCCAAAATTGATCCCATGTAAGAGAGGAAAATGGAGGGACTTCCATTAGAGAAAACAGAGAAACTCATCAAAAAAACAACATACACCCCCATCCCCAGACCCAGATGGTTTCAAAGGAAAAATCTAGAAAACTCTCAACGACCAGTTAATCCTAATGATACTACATAATGCATTCTAGAGTACAGAATACCAGAGAAATGGCCAAGGTTATTTTATAAAACAAGTATGTTGCCAAATGGTAATTTTCTAGCTCCATCTTGTCTTCCATATTTATCATTTGGCATTACTATAAGGAAGAACTCCCTGCTTCCCTATGTATTAATGCCAGCATGAACCAATTATTTAATAACCATATTATTTAATCTCTATCATTTTGATGTTTAAATTATTAAACATCAAAGGCTCCTGATACAAGAGTGTCTTTAAACTGGTTCCCATATCCCTTTGATATGTCTCCATCTGTTTTTTGGTATTTTATTTCTTTTTGGCTGATAAAAATGTCCCAGGTTCATCTTGTACTTTACCTATGCTACCCTAGGACTTAGCCATTTCTCCAGGAGCCTTTTAGTGGACAGTGATATTTAAAAACCACTAGGTGTGCTTACATTACTTCTAGGCTCTTTGTTTTGATACATTAAAGGCCATTTTTGAATTTCTGTTTGCGAACTGACTGTTCACATCCTTTGCACTTTTTTATTCTTGGGGTTTTGTTCCTTTTTTCTCCTTTCCCCAGCAATTCACATCTTTGGGCTCCACTTTTACTTCTCTTGCTATTTTTACCACATCTGCAGAAATTCCCTCCACTGAGCTTGTGAACCCCTCAAAGTCATCCGTGACAGTTGGAATCAACTTCTTCTGTTGTTAATACTGACATTCTGACATCTTTCCATGAATCAAGCATATTCTTAATGGCATCTAGAAGGACAAATCCCTTCCAGAAGTTTTTCAGTTTACTTTGTCCAGATCAATAAGAGAAATCACCATCTGTATCTGGCAGCTATAGCCTTACAAAATGTATGACTTAAATAATAGGATTGAAAGTCAAAATTATTCCTTGATCCACGGGCTCCAGAAGAGATGCTATGTTAACAGGCAGAATATTAACCTCCTTGTACATTGCCACAAGAGCTCTTAGGTGATCAGGTGCATTGTCAATAAGCATTATTATTTTGAAGGAATCTTCTTTTTTCTGAGCAGGTCTCAATAGTGAGCTTTAAAACATTCAGTAAACCATGCTATAGACAGATGTGCTGTCATCCAGGATTTGCTCTTTCATTTATAGACCACAGGCAGACTAGATTTAGTAGAATTCCTAAAGGCCCTAGGATTTTCAAAATGGTAAATAAGCATCAGCTTCAATTTAAACTTAGCGGCTGTATTAGCCCCCAGTAAGAAAGTCAGTCTGTCCTTTGAAACTTTGAAGCCAGGCATTGACCTTTCTGCTCTCAAGCTATGAAAGTCCTGGATTGGCATCATCTTTCAACAGAAGGCTGTTCTGTCTGTGTTGAAAACCTGTTGTTCCATGTAGCCACCTTCACCCATTGCCTTAGCTAGATCTCTGGATAACTTGCTGCAGCTTCTACATCAGCACCTGTGCTTCACCTTGCACCATTACATTATGGAGACAGCTTCTTTCCTTAAACCTCACAAACTTTTCTTGCAAACTTTTCTTCTGCAGTGTCCTCATCTCTCTCAGCCTTTGTGGAGTTAAAGAGAGCTGGGGTCTTTAATCTGGATTAGGCTTTGGCTTAAGGGAATGTTGAGGCTGCTTTGATGTTTTATCCAACCATTCAAACTTGCTCCACATCAACAATAAGACTGTTTTGCTTTCTTACCATTTCTCTGTGTTTACTAGAATAGCATTTTTAATTTCCTTCAAGAACTTTTCCTTTGCATTCATAACTTGGCACAAAAGACCTAGCGCTTTTGTCCTATATCTCAGCTTTTGACATGGCTTCCTCACTAAACGTAATCATCTCTAGCTTTTGATTGAAAGTGAGAAATGTATGAAATCTCCTTTTCACTGAACACTGAGAGGCCATTGTTGGGTTTTTAATTGGCCTAATTTCAACACTGTTATATCTCAAGGAATAGGAAGCCCTGAGGAGAAGGAGACAGACTGGGAATCTGCCATGTGGTGAGCAGTAAGAACACAAAACATTTATCAATTAAGTTCACCATCTTACATTCACTTAGGGTTCGTATTAGAACCTTATAGGAACCCATGGTTCAGTTCATGGTGCCCCATACAATTATAATGGTAACATCAAAGATCACTTAATCACTGATTACCATAACAAATACCATAATAATGAAAAAGTTCAAAGTATTGTGAGAATTACCAAAATATGACACAAGACATAAGAAGCATAAGCTGCTGGAAAAATGGCACTGATAGACTTGCTTGAAGAAGAGTTGCCACAAACCTTCAATTTTTTAACACAATATCTGTGAAGTTCAATAAGTGAAGCATGATAAAACGAGGGATGCTTGTATGTTACAGGCCAAATTTTGATCAGACAAATTTCTAATCTGACATAGTCATTTGAACAGTTATGAATATTTCTCTAATTTTTAAAAAAGAAGTGATACAATCTTTTCCTAACAAAGTTTTATACAGACTCTCCAAATTTTGGGAAAAAAGCAAAATTTTCCTGCTCAAAATCAGGGTTAAGGATCTAGAAGATAGAGTATCCTACAATTTTTCCTTCTAAGTTGACCAGATAATCTAGGCCTCTAGAGTCTAAGCAACACAACTGAAAAATATTCTGTAAAGTATACTACAGAGGGCTCTGAATTATAAAAAGATATTAGTAAGACAAGAGTATTTCTTCAGTCTACTTACCTACATTCCACATATAGGCTTGTAATCTTGCAGTGACATTTTATTCTAAGCATTTGAACACAGGGTGGACAATCTCCAGGGTGACATGGCAAAACACAAGGATGAGGACAGCCTAGTGGCCGTGACTTAGAGCACCCTTCTTCACAAGGAAGGCATTCTGGACCAGCCTGAAAAATAGCAGGGAAATAAACCACCTAAGTACAGAAGTCTAACATTTCTATATATTAAAGTTATAAAATGTATATATTCCATTAAAATACTTTGGCAGCTCTCAAAAACACAGTTAATGGGCCTCCCAGTGCTGGCCACAGGCCGGGTTCTTACACTGCCGCATAGAAAGAGGTGGCAGAGAGAAGCTACTCCAGGTACACCCCAGCCCCGGCCCTGTGCGAAAAAAGAAAAGGAAAAAAAAATACACTTAATGGCATGTGTTTTCACTGATCTTAAAAATTTTCAGAAAGAACAGCAAGACTGTCAATATGACCATTATTCATATGGATTTTTATGTTATAAACCTAAGTCAAACTGCCTCACCTTTAACATGAACTTGACTACATAAAGGGTATCCCTACTAAAAATGTAAATTACTTCCTAAAGAATTGTCAGGGGTAGAAAAAATAGAGAGAGTAAAATGTTTATTCAATTCACTTCCATCCAATAAGCACAATTATTGTTGAATTAAAGAAATCAACACATTATTAACACATAAAAATTCTAAATCACTCAAAAAAGTTCTGGAGATATTTATCTCATCTTGCCAATAAGAAATATAGACAGAGTGAAAATAAAGAGAAGGACTAGTAGTTTACTTTTTAATGCATGTCAGTGAATTAAGGTTAGATTAGATTTACAAATAAATGTATCTCAATATAACTTAACAAGATACCTCTCTCTGCTCTTGTGATTTAATAATGTAACTAGTATCAGAATCTACAAAAAAGTTGTTATTGCAAGGCATTTTTGGTTTTCATATGTCATACTTGAGATAAAACAAGTCACAGATCTATAGACAAGGACACTAAGTCTTAAAGGTTAAACATTTTTATTATCATGCCTAAGTATAGCAACGATTACAACAGTTATTGTTAATAAAATTCTCGGCTATTTTTTTATATTTAGGACTAAAAAGAAATAATGTTTCAAATTATGAAAATATTCTTTTTATAAATAATTTCTGGTTTTTTACTTTTAAAAAGTATATTCATTTATTCCACAAATACTCATTCAGCACTTATGTGTCAGGCATTGCTGCAGCCACTGGGAATAGATGAGACAGGCCCCTGGAACTTAATTTAAGTGGGGAGATAAAAAACATAATATAATGTCTTCATAAGTACTCTGAAGAAAGATAAAGCAGGATAAGAGAGAGTGATGGTAGCGTAAGAAGAAGCCTGCCTGATAAAGTCTACATCTGAACAGAAATTGAGTTAAAGGAGGGAGAGAGCCAGTATCTGTAAATTTAACGTTCATAATAAAGTAAAACTTAAAATTTCTGGCTTATTTCTCATTAAGATACTTGCTAATATTATGACTCCCCATAGAATGAAAGTCTATGAAAAATATTATTTTAAAAATAAAGCTTAATATTATTTAAAATTTGATTAGTACATTTGTTTTTCCTTGCGAAATGGCAATTTTTAAGAGATCTTTGAATAGCTGATTTCTCATGTGTGTAAAACAGTAATTTATACACATATAAATGCACATCTGTGATGCTATTTACTTTTCAACAAAAGATTAGGGATTTATTAAAATTATAAACATCATCTGTCATGGAAAAATAACTGAGCAAATGCTCTAAACTCAGACATATGAACAGAGAGAAGTGGAGATGGTATTGCTACCTACCTCCTAAGAAGATACATAACTTCTATATATTTTTTCCCCTACCCCGTCAACTTCTATATTTTTATCATAAAACCGTATTTCATGTATTAACACAGGCACAGGATGTAAAGAGTTCCACACTAAAAGGCACGTTAGTAGGAGCTAGCACAAAGACAGCAATAGACAGCAATCTGGTAAAGTCAGTTGTCTTAGGAAAACCAAGGACAGAGAAGGAATGAAGGCAAAAAAGAGGAAAGAAGCTAAGCAAAATGGAAAAAAATATTTATAGTATAATTGTTGAAAAAAATGTTTCAAGCATACTGTGAACATATATACATTCGACCTAAAAACATTACCTTGTTTTTGGCAGTACAACCATCCACTTCAGTTACTTTGTGGCATTCTTTCATACATGTATGATTCTGACAATCTAAGGTTCGTCCACAAACTCTCTTACAAGAGTAGGGTCCTACAGCATGGCAGGGTAGTGGACTCACCTTAAAAAAAAAAAAAAAAGAATATTAGCACAATATACACACACAAAAAAAAAACCTTCTGAACCCTTGTTTCCAAAATGATTTTGCTATCATTTGAGAACAAGTTCACAAAGGTCTAATAAGTTTTCATTACTAGTATTTATTATGAACACAAATAATGTATCAAATATTCCCAAAAACTGAATGCAAAAAGCAATCATCTCTCCTGAAAAAAATTCCAGATATGTTCCATAGTCAATGCAATATACCCACAGGTTAATTCTCAAATAAAAGCCACATATACTTTTAAATTATAGACAAACTTCTTACATTCTTAACAACACGAATAATAATACTTTGACCATTATGATTTCTAATACACGGTATGGAAAAGCTTAATATTGCTTTACTAAAATGGTGCCTATAAACTCACTCAATGCTTCCAAGACATTCCTGCGAAGAAAAAAATAAATGAAATCAATTAAAATTCTTCAAAAGATATCCTACGTACACAGACTAACTCTACTATTTTATATAAGAAGTAAGAATAAACACATATGGAAAAAACGATTAGTAAGGTTATAGATACAATATTAGGTAATAAAAGGCCAAGTGGATTCCTATATCCTAGCATGAATGATGTGGAATTTGAAATTAACAAAACATATTTAATATTAGCACAAAAATGCAATACTTTAGGTATAATTAAACAAAATATAACTAACCAGATCTATATGAGAAATCTGCAAAATGCTGATGAATAAAATCAAAGATCTAAGATAGAAATTGAGAGAGATAATGTATAAACAGGAAGGCTCAAAATTAAGATGTACCTTCTTCTCCATTGATCGAGGTTCACACAATTCCAATCAAAATCCCAGCAAGATATTTGTTACATATCAACAAACTGATTCAAAATCTATATGAAAGTAAGCAGACAGAAAACCCACGTAATATGTAAAGAAGAACAAAGTCCAAGGATCTGACACTACCTGACTTCAAGACTTACATAAGCTACAGTAATCAGACAGTTATGGTATTGAATGAAAGGACGATCAATGGACACAGAAAGAAAAAAACGACACCCAGAAAGAGACTCACACCAATACAACTGATCTTTGACAAGCAGAGCAACAGGCGACTGAATGGTTGTGCATAGAATAATGAGCAATCGAAGATGGCAAATACAGCACCAAAAGATGCCTGATTCAATATGTGATTTAGGAACACGTGCAAATTAACAAGATACACTACCACACTTTAGAATAGACTGAACATCCAAAACACTTGAACCACCCTACCATACGTAGTAAGGACTGTGGAGCAACAGAACTCTCATCCACTTGCGGTGAGAAATGCAAAGATGAGAAGCCCACTTTTGTAGATTTTGGACAGTTCCTAACAAAGCTACAACAAGGCCTAACGATATATCCAGCAATGCACTCCTAAGAATTTACCACAAATGATGTTGAAAAGCTGATGTCCTATGACAAAACTGCATACTAATGTTTAATACCCAGCTTTATCTAGGTGTTATAGCAGCCTCCAAACTTGGAAGCAACCCAAAATGTTCGTTCCATAGGTGAATGAGCTATGGGTACCTCCATACGATGGGAAAATTATTATGATCACAAAAAAGAGAACTATACGCGCCAGGAAAAAAACATCAGATGATCTTGAAATGCAACATGTATAATCAAGAAGCCAGTTTGAAAAGTGCTAATATACATAAATGATCTAACTATATGATGTCTGGAAAAGTAAACTATAGAGATAATAAAAAGACAGAAGTGGTGTTAGGGTGTGAGGGGGTAGGGTAGGGTGAATGGTGCCAGCCAGGGATTTTAGACAGTGAACTACTCTGTAGAAACTGTAGGTGGATACATGATACTACACATTCGTCAGAGACCATAGAACCATAACGAACACAGAAGGTAAACGCCAAATGTAAGCTATAGACTTTAGCTAATAATGTAGACAACATTCCTCTCAACTGTCAAAAGCCACAACAATCAAGACGTATTAAATTAGGGAAAAACGCATGTGGTGGGGAGCACATACCGGAAACTCTTGACTTTTCTTTGCAAATTTTCGTACACTAAAATTTCTTAAAAATTAAGTTATTTAAGAAAAACTAAACACCATTTCCCCTTCCAGGGACTGGTTTAAAATGATCCTGTGGAATGGTCCTACGCCCAATGAAATGTGACAGGAAGTCTCTAAGACTTCTCAAGAAGTTTTCTCACCCTTAACAATAAACAAAAAAAAAAAAATGAATACGATTACAGAAGGCATTACAGGCAGGCCATTTCTTCCCACTGTAAACTAGGGAGATTGGAAGTTACGCAGAAAGCAAACAGCCCAAAGGGCAAAGAAACGCTGGCATAATAAAATGAAAAGACGAGTCCAACCTCATGAGTGTACTGAATTGACCAAATTAACCAACAATAAGCTACTCTACTTCCAGTCTAACGTGGGCAAGGCAGAACTGTCATTGTGCCACTTTTTATTCAGGTTGTTACTTGAAGCTAAAGCACTGTTAAATGATAAAGCATATATGTAAGCTCAGAATTCTCTTACCACAGGGCCAAAATATCATTAAAAGGAGTGTTTATTTTGGTTGTTTTTTTTTTTTTTTTAAAAACAAGGCAAGACAGACACATTTTTCTCTAAAAATGAAATTTTATTACCTAGATAGTTCTTGTGACAATATTTTTCAACATACACTTTATAGTAACAATTTTGTTATACACGCCACTGAAAAGTCATGACATTAGAGTCTTTCTACATATACAGGAGTCTCTACTCCCTTGGGTTTGACTCCTTACAGCTCAGCTTCACCATGATTGGCCCATCCAGAAAACCACTACCTTTCATTTCCAATGTTTCCTTTAAACACTCTCCTTCAAGTTTGCTTCATCTAAAACCTGGCTTTCTTGTCTTCAGGGAGCCTAAACTCTAGCATGGGAATGATCAAAGAAAACTAACAAATGATGCATTTCTTGGATGTGTTTTTGTAACTGTAAGCACAAGCTGCTACGGAAAGCTAAGAAGGATATCAAATTCCAGCTAAGAGAAAAGACGCAAAAAAAAAGGTATCTACAGGAGGTTTATAAACAGCATGGCAAATATATTTGGAAAAGAATGAAACAGAGATACTAGTTTATAGGCTAGTCCTGAAATAATAATGAATTAAGAAAAAAAAGGAGAGGCTGACTTTAGATACACTTTAACTATGTTAAAAGATATCTTTTTAAAAAGTTAAAATTCTGATACTTACATAGGAATAGGAACTAGACACGGAGGACAAGGCAATGCAGTCTGAATAAACGCTGGCTCAGAAGGCTGTTCCCAAGGGACCGTGGGCTGGAGCTGCAGGTCAAACGCAGAAGCACTTTACGTCAGAGATTTGATAATCACATGGCCATTTTAAGAACCTAAGAAAACAGTTCTATGCATCCTCTGCCCAAGCAGGTTGAAATTTGTCAAATAATCAATAAACTGTGTTTACTGAAATATTTTATTCCATCTGTATTCTATCAGATTGTTCCTTTCCACATACATTTAATATTAATAATTGAGGCAGACTCCAGTTTTTAAATGGCAGAACAAAGGAAGTGTAGCCTCCTTCACTTTTCATAAGGAGAATGAAAAATAGAATTGTAAACTCTAACATCCGACATCAGCTGAATGTAATCTCCATTATTTTGCTCTGCTTTTTCCCAGCACCCAGATGAATGCCTGATATACAGTAAGGGTTCAATAAATATTCACTGAATATAGAATAAATCTTTAAGATACGGTTATAGGAGATTATAACCCTAAATCACAATATATGAAGGAGGACTGCCAAATTCATCTATATCACACTGTATCTCCAAACGTTTGTTTATTGATTTCTCTCCTTTTCTATATTGTGAGTTTAAGCCAAAAGACCAAGTCTTATTTACTTTTTCCCGGCTCCATGCACAATGCTTGATACCCAGTAAGTGCTTAAGCATTGCTTGTTGAATGATCAAGTAAAATCAAGAAAGTATGACCCACAGCAATGCACTATTTCTTTAATAACGTTGCTCCCTTACCTTGCCAGTCTGCTTTATTAATGCTTGATCATGACACGGAACAGGACACAAGTGACCACATTTCTCCAAAACTTTTTGGCAAGGTTGATGACATGGTGGACAGGAGCCAAAGTGACAGCGATGTTTTTCTTGACTCGAATGATGACAAGTTGATGGTCGACTAAATCATAACATACAAAATCAAAACATACATATTTTTTATAAGTAATTCTGATCATTGAACAACTACATCTAAAGTACAATTATGTTATTTATCTCCTGATTCCATAAAAAATGAGCATACTGTGAATAATATTTTAAAACGCCAAAGCAAAATTAAAATGCTAACAACATCACAAGTCAATATGAATCTGTATTTGTAAAACACTGATGTGAGCCTGTGCAAAGCTTCATACTAACCTGCAAAGCTCTTTGCACTTGGGTGGTCTTGTGGTGCGTTCTCGGCCACAGGGCACTGTCACCTTTGTATCGCCACAACTACACTTCACATCTACAGTTTCTGGGCAAGGATAGCAACTGCCTGGAAAAAAAAAATTTGATTCTTAAAAAGAAGTTTCCTTAATTACCCAAATGCCCATCAATGGCAAAACCAATAAATTTAGTATATTCTCACAATAAGATACTTTATAATAAGAATGAAGAAACTATAATAATATGAATGAATAACATTGAGCAAAAGAAGCCACACATGAAGAAGTACATAGTACATGATACCACTACCATAAAGCAAATAAGATAAACAAATCTATACTATTCGAAATCAGAATGATGGTTATGAAAGATACAAGGAGGGTTTCGGAAATACTGGTAATGTTCTGTTTAATGAAGTAAGTTCTGCTTATATACTCATGCTCAGTTTGTAAAAATTCAACAAGCTGTACACTTATGATTTGTACATATATATGTATACTGGTACTTCGATAAAGTTTTAGAGATTTCTTTAAAATTTGCTAAAATTTCTGTTCTAAATAACAAATTTAACACATTACTCATTCAAAGCTACAACAAGCATAACTGTATTTAAGTTTTTGGAAAATCTAACAATAATTTTTTTGGCCTATTTTCATACATCTTCTCTCCAAGTACACTATTTTTACACAAATTCCCCAATAACTTTTCTTTTATGACTTTATGTTGGTTATTTACAAGTATAATCAATTTTCCACTATTTGTATTTTATGAAAGACTAAATGCTAAAACCTCTATTTTAGGCTATAATTCCAAATATGTATCTTATAACATTCAAAAAGAAAAGTTATTTGTGTTTCAGCTTTTTACCCTCTTTTCTTACAGATTGGTAGAAATACACAAAAGCAAAATGTAAGAAACCTTTTCCAGGCTAGTAAGTTCTCCCCAAGAGGCTCTGTCATCGTGGTAAGGGCTTTCTTCTCACTCTAGTTCTCCCAGTAAGAAACTCCATTTGAAATAAAGTAAAAAGGAGGGAATAAGAGTTTTCAACTAAGAAGTGGACAGAGACTGCTGGCTAGGGGTCAGGACCAAGCCAAATACTGACCAGCAGCTAAACTTGATAAGAAAAGATTAATGATGAAAAACAGCCTTATTTAAATACCTCTAGAAGTTCAAAATAGTTTCTTAAAACAAATACAAATTAAGAATTATGATTCAAATAACGAACATAGAAAGAGAGAAAATGAGAGTAAAAGCATCACAGGGAAAAAACTCATCTACTAAACAAAATTACCAAATTTATACTTTAGTGTTTTGGTAAGTGTCTTGATGGTAACACAAGCCCAGTTATCCTGACTCACAGGATCAAGTCTCATTTTGATCGTTTCAAAAGAATGACTAGATGTTACATTTCTCAGGTTACATTCTCAGTGACATTTAAGTCTGTTCTCATTCAGCATGTCAATTTCTATACTTAACAATGATAATTTTTTATTCATCTTCAACAATTCAAAGAGGAACTTATCAAACATAACTTTTTTGCTACTTTAAACTATAGCATCACTTCTTAAAAAATTAAATCTTGGAAATAAGGGATAATTTCTCTAGCCTTCCTACTGACCAACAGAATTTGTTATAGATACCTATACAACATGAGAGATGTTAATTAAAACAGCTTCAATAATAATACTTTCAAAATGAAAAAACAAACAAACAAACAAAAAACCAGCATACAAACTGTAACTATACTGACCAGAGGGTCAATAGCTGAAATAGTCACCAATCTGGCAATTCCAAAACCATAAACACAGATGACTTTGAACTTAAAAAAACTATAAATCAATTTTCATGTATTCACAATGAAAACAGGACAGTAGTTAGTATCAGGATACAGTTAGTATCCTCTCCCTATGAATTACAGTATAATTTTCATTATGAAAGAGTCTAGAACGATGGAAAATGGCATGAAACGATTTCATAGTCATACGTAACTCGGTAGGTTAAACAAATGGTAAGAGTTGCACAACAATATCTTCCACATACTTTACATCAGGGAAAATCTTGTTAGGGGCTTTTTTTGGAGGCTAATAAGCATCTTTTTCTAAAAAAATAAATCAAACCAAAATCTAATCAAACCTCCAGATCCAATTAACAAGGTGCAAGAAATGCAGAGGACAAAGGAACATATTAATAACAGAGATGCAATCTGCAAAATTCAGATTCTAAAAAACTAAAGCAACCTAGTTTCTTCAACAAGTAAGTCATACAAGAAAATAAAAAGTAGATGGAGGAGAGAGATTACAAATTGAAAGAGTTTAGAGACATAACCAATTACAACATGTCCATCTTATTAGGTTTTTGAGTCAAAGAAACTGAAGTAAAAATGAAGTCACTTATAAGTCAACAAGAAACTTGAACATCAGATTATGTACTGATATGAAGAAGTATGTTAACTATTTTTAGGTTAAGAATTCATCTTTTAGAGATAAATACAAAAATATTTATGCAATTTGCTTCAAAATAATATGAGGGGGGAGATGCTCAACAATTCTACACTAAGCATGATGTTTGCTCTACACTTTTTGCAGATACTCTTTATCAAGTTAAGGATATGCCCTTCTATTTATAGTTTTTATCATATATCGATGTTGGAATTCATCAACCATTCTTAAGATATTTACCAATATGATTTCATTTCCCCTTTAATCTCTTAATGTAGTAGATCACGTTAATATTAGATTAACTAATAGCTAATATTAAACCAGCCATACATTATTGGAATAAACCCATCTTGGTTACAATGGATTAAAAATTTGGCTAGGTAATACATAACACTATAGTATTGGATAACTGGATTTGAGTAGCTAAAACTTTAACACTATTCTAAGCAAGTCCTTGAATTATTACAGTAGCCTGTAATTTTCTTACTTTCCTTGTCAGATGTTAAATGAGTTGGGCACATTCTTTCTTTACATGTACTTTCAAATAGTTGACGGAAGACTGAACTTGTATGTACCATAAATGTTTGTTAGAAATCATGTGTAAAAGTCAACGAGGTCTGGTGTTAGTGAAAAAATTTTAAACTACTGATCCAATTTCTTTAATGGTCATACAACTAGTCAAGTTTCCTATGCAAAGGCCAGTGCCTGAACAGTGGTCTACAAGGCCCTACACATATTCTCCTCCCCCCAGGAATCCTTTATCTCACCGTCTCTTTGACCTCATGCCCTCCCATCTGTCTGCTTGAGCATTCTATCTCAGTCACACTGGCCTTGCTATTCCTTGGCTCCTGTCCCAAGCTTTTGCAATCACTGTTTTCTTTTCTAAAACATTAATTACCCTACCTCCATTTCTACATAGCTTGATCCCTTCCTTCTTTTAGGCCTCCTCTCAAATGTAATCTTTTCAGACTCCTCCCCTGGTCACAGTATATAGAAGAGTATAGGCTATCCCCACCACCACAATTTTAGTTCTACTCTAATTTTCTTGTAATTCTTGTCACTACCTGATATCCTATATTACTCTAAATACTTACTTGTAGTCTACTTGGGAGGGGGTGTCTGAACAAATAAGTTCCCTGAGAGCAGGGACTTTATCAATTTTGTTCACTCATATAATTCTAGTACCTGGTACTTAACAGACACCTAAAAATGCTTTGTAAATGAATTAACAACTGATGTTAGAATTTTAACGAAATTTAAACTCTATGGGAGTCAGTCACATAATGTGACTATAAAAGGAAATTTTAAACAAAATCCTTCTAGTGATGGTGAGAACATACCTGAAAAACTAGTCCTAAATTTCACAATTTAAAGATGCTGACAAATTAGAGAACAGCCATAGGAAAATATTTACAGGGTAAACAGAATCTGACACTTTTCCTAATGGAAATATCATAAACTTAAGGTTCACATCCTGGCACTGCAACTAGTTCTATAACCTTGGGCCGACAGTCTCTTGGCCTTTTTCCTCATATAAAATAACAGTAGTTCCAAATACACTGTAGGATTTCTGAAAAGATTAAGACATCAACTGAGATATCTAGCACCCATCAATCCCAAAGGAAGACAATAAAAACAGTTCAGTAGTTTGCCCCAGGTATTGAGCTACTAAGTAGCAGAGTCCAGACTTAAACCCAGGACCCCTTACTCTAAGTCCACAATCTTTCCGATGGTCTATACCAAGTCTCAGTAGATTCCACTTCGCATCAACATACACCAAACAGGCAAAGTTAATTCAGTTTTCAATGTCTAGTAATAACTTAGAACACAATTCTCAAACTGTGTGGTCTGGGAAACTTAGGAGTCCCCGAGACCCTTTCAGGAGGTCTGCAGGTCTCACACGCATAGAGTTTTTCAAAAGCTAGTGACAAGTGGTATCACAACAATCAGATGCAGAAGCAGAGATATGTGAACCCAGCTGCCTTCCAGTAAGCTAGATATTAAAGACATTTTGTAAGACTGTAAAACAATATCATTCTCACCAATTTTTTTCAGAAAATAGTTATTTTTCACAAAAATATGATACTTATATGAAGATATAATGGGCTTATTGCTATTTTTAAATAAAATAGTTATTATATTTTATTTTAATTTCAAACACAATAAATATCAATGGATAAAATCCACATTAACAAAAGCTCTTTGGGGGACTAAACGGGGTCATAAGACCAAAATGTTTGAGAACCATTTGATTAGGATATCTCTAATCCCTTATTGGATTTAATTTTATATAAATGTGTAAAATTCAGAATGAAACTGAAAGAGCTATGAACATCTTAATTAAAAAAACTGTGTGGGGAAGATTGAAAGGAAGTGAGGAAACAATAACATGGGGTTGGAGAAAGGACAAAATCTTTATATTCAGAAATCCTGGGGTCAAATGGACTAGGCATTTCCTCAACTAAGTCACTGAACCCCCTTTAGCTTCAATCTCTTTGCCCATAAAAGAGGGGTACTGGCAACTGCCCTGCCTCCTTCTCAAGTTTGTTAAGAGAGTCGAGTGAGATAATGAAGGTAAAAGCTCTCTATTGACTACAAAGCACTATGTCAATATAAACACAAAATCACAGCTATTGTTAAAGTTTACCTCTGTGGCAGACAGATGGGCACTTATGGTTTCTACATCCTAAAGTCCGTCCACAGTTTTGATCACAAGGTGGACAGTTTCCAGGGCAACACTGAAGAGAAAGCAATATATAAAGAACAGGTAATTCGAAAACCCATGAATAATATGAATGTCATTACCAGTTACAGAAGTTATGGAAAGCAAAAGACACTATAAGAATGAAAAGTATTCAAGAGTATCAACATTCTTCTGATAAGCAGATACACTGTATAAAGAATGTACAAATTTAAATAGAGAATGATCTAATTTAACAAAAATAAAGCTAAATATTCTTGCCCTTCAGTTAATTATGCCACAACTCAAAACATTTCCATCAGATAATTTCATTTACTTATCTATACAGAGATTGACAACATTAACCAAAGGAATGGATCTGATCAAATGCTATAGTCAAATCAGGCAAACAACTAGTCTGGCTATTTTTTTAATTTAATTAAAATAAAATCATTTCAATGTTTAGATTAGTTTGGCAGTTATTTTCAAAACATAAGAGCAGAGACTAATGAAAAGCAGAGACAGGCTACTTGCACTCAGCTTTCTTTATTTTGTCACTTCCCTGATTTCCAATCTGTCTGCAAAAAAATATAGGTACCTAGGACCTACCCTAATTTTTCATTTATGAACCCCAAGAAACTACTTAAAGTCTATATTGCCATCCTAACCACTTCTTTGACCTCTTACATATCCTAACTTTTGGAAAGGAAATACAGACAATTGTCTTAAAGAAACTTAGGGCTGTAACTTAATTAAGTATCAGAATATAAAAACAGCTCAAAACAAAATATGCATTATTGAAAAGCAATCAAAAGACAAAATAGTTCATTCAGTGACAAGCACATACTGAGTAATACTGTGCGTCTATCACCTTGCCAGTGGCAGTGGGGGGAAAGCTTACGTGGTCCGTGACTTGAATAAGCCTACAGACAATTCTGTTTCTGACCATGATGGAGTAACGACCACCAGATTTACCCTCCTGTCTCAAATAACAAGAAAAGTGGACAAAAGATACGAAGCTACAGCTTTCAGACATTAGAGAATTAAGCAGCATGAGGCAGCAATCCCTAAGGGAAGGGAAACAAACAAGGTGAGTCCTGCAATGGCATTAGGCTGTAGCACAAGCAGAGGGTGGCAGTCTCACCAAGTTGAGCAGGCAAAATTCGCAGTTCAAAGAAGCTAGTGTGGCTAGAATTTGTGGAGAGAGGGTAGTAGTACAGAGAAAGCTCTGGAAAAGTCCAGAAGGGACCCCTTGGGTCTTTAACTAAGTAATGGCTAGTATATGTGTGAGAGGACACTGCCCAAAACCTGACAAAGAACCACTGAAAGGAGAAGGTAGAATAATTTCCAGAGATTATACACTGCTGGGAATAGTTTGTGTTCCTTACAGCCAGAGTAGAAAGACGTCCTAATACACAGGCAACAAGAAGGGTACTTAAAAGAGTTATTGCCTCAGTAGTAGGACCAAGTTAGCCCTAGACAAAAGGTTTCTCTGGTCACATCTAACAAAATCAAGCTTCTAAAGCAGCGGTCCCCAACCTTTTCGGCTCCAGGAACTAGTTTCGTGGAAGACAATTTTTCCAGAGATGGGGTGGGGTGGGGAGTAGGGGCCGAGGGTAGGGGCTGATGCAAGTGATCATGGTGAGTGGCAGTAAATACAGACAGAGCTTTGGTTGCTGGCCCACCACTCACCTCCTGCTGTGGAGCCACCCCCCCCCAACCCCCAATCCTGGCCATACCGGCGCTTCCTAAGCTTCACGGAACACAATTTTTCCACGGATGGTTGGGGGACCAGCTCTGCAGGCTGGTCCATGGCCTGGGGGTTAGAGACCACATTTCTAAAGGACCAAAAGGTTTTTGAGTAACTTAACTTTGTCCCAGAACAAGGTTTAAAAATATTAAACACACAAACACACACAAAAAAAAACCCCAAATAACCAAAACATAAAGTTCACAATGTCTAGAAACCAGTAAAAACTATCCAGCAGGCCAAGATGCAAGACAATATAACCCCAAAGGAGTCAAAAAAATCAATAAGCAGAAACAGACCCATAAATGAGAGACGACAGAATTAGTAGACAAGGATATTAAAATAGACATTATAAATATAGCTCATCCTACATTCAAGAAGATAGAAGAAAGTATGAGGATGCTAAGGAGAAACATGAAAAATATTTTAAAAAAGACCCAAATCCAACTTTTAAAGATGAAAATATACAATGTGTGAGATGAAAAACACAGGATGGAATAAAAAGCAAATTAAACAATGCAGAAGAAAATTAGTGAACTTGAAGATAAACTATCTAAAATAAAACAGAGAAATTAAAAAGACTAAAAAATAAATAGAGCATCAAGTGAGCTTGGGACTTCAAGCAGCGTATTATACATGTCATCAAAGTGTGAGAAAGTGATGGGCAGGGGAAAAAAAAATCTGATGAAATAAAGATCAAAAATTTCACAAATATGAAGAGAACTATAAACTTACAGATCCAAGAAGGTCAACAAAAAAAAAAGTTAAGAAAATGAAAAACACTATACCAAGGAATTCCAGAAACAAACTGTTGAAAACTGGTGATAAAGAGAAAGATCTTAATAACAAACCAGAAAAAAGAGATGGAGGAAGGAGGAACAAACATAAAAATCAAGTATACTACTTGTTGGGAAAAATGCAAGCTAAAAGATGGTGGAGCAACACTTTTAAAATATGGGGGAACAGATTGCCAAGCTAAAATTCTACAGTAAAAATATTTTTCACAAATGAAGGCTAAAGAAAGACATTTTTAGATATAAAAAGTTGAAAAAATTGATGACCAACACTATAAGTAATGATAAAGGTAATCCTTTAGGATAGAAAGAAAAAGAAACCAGAAGAAAAAGTGAATCTATCCAAAAGGTTGAAAAGCACCAAAACTAAGTATGATAATAAATATCAAAGATTATTTTTTCTTATTTTTTCAAACTCTTGAAAAGATCACTGTTTAAAGCAAATGCAAAAACAATATATTTGGGTTTATAAAATACATGACTACAAAATGTCTGAACATCATACATTTTAGTTTGGGTGATAGGAAATAAAATATAACGTTATAAGGTTCTTAAAGAATATAAAGCCTAGGCCGGGCGCTGTGGCTCACGCCTGTAATCCTAGCTCTTGGGAGGCCGAGGCGGGCGGATTGCTCAAGGTCAGGAGTTCAAAACCAGCCTGAGCAAGAGCGAGACCCCGTTCTACTATAAATAGAAAGAAATTAATTGGCCAACTGATATATATATAAAAAATTAACCGGGCATGGTGGCGCATGCCTGTAGTCCCAGCTACCCGGGAGCCTGAGGCAGAAGGATCACTCGAGCCCAGGAGTTTGAGGTTGCTGTGAGCTAGGACGCCACGGCACTCACTCTAGCCTGGGCAACAAAGCGAGACTCTGTCTCAAAAAAAAAAAAAAAAAGAATATAAAGCCTAAAGAAATTTCCTACCCATAAAAAAAGTGAAAAAAGAGAAATAAGTAATAAGCCAACAAACAGAATCACTGCAAAACAACCCTCAAAAAAAAAAAAACACAACAGAAAAAGATAGAAAAGAAACAGATAGGCAAATAGAAAATAAAAAGCAAGATGGTAGATTTAAATCTAACCATATTAAAGATCACATTAAATGTAAACAATCTATATCTGACTTAAACAACAAAGATCATCAACTTGGATAAAATAAAAAAAATTTAAATGCTGTCTATAAGAAATGCTCTTTAAATATAAAGATACGAATAGGTTAAAACTAAAAGGATAGGGGAAAAGATATACCATGTTAATACTAAGCCAGAGAATAGTAAAATCACTATATTTCAGTAGATTTAAAAACAAGGAAATCTTACTATCAGAGATAGAGGGATATTTTGAAATGATAAAAAGAACCCAAAAGAACTACAAACCCACAGAGTCGATAATCCAGTGTCAACTTGAACGATATTTGAACAACAGAATTTCCATCTCTACCATCAAATTATTACTCTAATTAACAATGTTAATGATGTTTTAAAGTCAGGGATCAGAAATAGCCCGAGAACCAAGCTGAGAGGACAATGCATAAGACAAGGAGAAACTCTTCCAATTTAAAAAATTGGTCTGATTTCCCACTAGTACAGATGATTAGGGTTAATCTAGAATACTTGTTAACATTTTATATAGAAAGCAAAGAATATGCCTGAATATCTGAGAAACAAGTCAAGATGGCACTTAGTAAGGGCCCACAAAGGAAAAATTCAAGACAGTCTTTAAATCAGAGTCTCCCGAGCGTATTACACATACCTTTCTCCTACACTGATGCTTCTGACAGTCGCGCATCTTAACGCACTTAGTTTCACAAAGATAAGTTTTATGACACGGCATTCGTTTTGTGTGTTTGCCACAGCGACACTGCTTTTCCACTTCCTGGAAGAACCAAAGAAATGCTATTAAAACTGATTTTTGTTATTATTTTTCCCTACACTGTAATTATTATGAAAACATGAAGAAAATTTTAATAGCAAATTTGTATGAAAGACTTTACCAAAAAACAAATCTGAATTTCCTCAAATATTTGCTTACATATTACTTTGTTCCAAAAAGAACTTCATACGAATTTGTTATTAAATTTAGTAGAAATTTGTTATTAAATAGAAAAAAAAACCCCACATATTAAAACTATTTACATCTAGTTACAAGTATAACATCTGCACGTCCTGGCTCAGGGAAGCAAGAAAACTGGATTATCTAGTAAGCTAACCTGTTGAGCTGGTTATGGTCAAAACCAAAATGACACGTGCAACTTTAAAGTCTGAAGTCTAAGCATTTGTTTCCTTGCCATCATCACCAGGCCTAATTCATCACCGCTGTGAACGTCTACTGGGAACAGACAGTCCTACACTCGACTATTAATATAAAAATAAGAACATCTGAACTTTTACCAAACAAAAACAAACGAAAGATAATTTTTAGGTTTGACTGCTGGCATACAGGCATACCACGGAGATACTGACGATTCATTGCCAGACGACTGGAATAAAGCAAATATCACAATAAAATTGAGCCACAAACAATTTCATTTGTTTCCCAGTGCATGTATGATTTATGTTCACACTATATTGTAGCCTATTAAGTGTACAGTAGCATTATGTCTAAAAAATATATACATAACTTAATTTAAAAATATTTTATTGCTAAAAAATGCTAACAATTATCTGAACCTTCAGCCGGCCACAACCTTTTTACTGCTGGAGGGTCTTTCCTCCATGTTCATAGCTGCTGACGGATCAGGGTGGTTGGCGGTTGCTGAAGGTTGGGATAGCTGTAGCAATTTCTTTAAAAAAAAGTAAGACGACAGTGAAAGTTGCCACATTAATCCTGACTCTTCCTTTCATGAAAGATTTCTCTGTGCCATGTGACACTGTCTCATAGCATTTTACCCACAGAACTTCTTTCCAAATGGAGTCAATACCCCCACACCCTGCTGCTGCTTTATCAACTAAATGTCATATTCTAAATCCTAATCCTTTGTTGTCATTTCAACAGTGTTCACAGCATCGTCAGCAGAAATAAATTCCATCTCAAGAAACCACTTTTTGCTCATCCATAAAAGGCAACACTTCATCCGTTCATTTTTTTTTTTTTTTTCCAGGACAGAGTCTCACTCTATCGCCCTGGGTAGAATACAGTGGCATCATCATAGCTCATAGCAACCTCAAACTCCTGGGCTCAAGTGATCCTCCTGCCTCAGCCTCCCAAGTAGCTGGGACCACAGGCACACTCCACAACACCCGGCTAATTTTTCTATTTTCCATGGAGTCAGGGTCTCGCTCTTGCTCAGGCAGGTCTTGAACTCCTGAACTCAAGCAATCCTGCTACCCTGGCCTCCAGGAGTGCTAGGATTACAGGCGTCAGCCACTGCACCAACTCCATTCATGTTTTATCATGCAATTGCAGAAATTCAGTCACATCCTCAGCCTGCACTTCTAGTTCTTGTTCTCTTGCTATTTCTACCACATCTACCATTACTACCTCTACTAAAGTCTCGAATCCCTCAAAGCCATCCATGAGGTTTGGAATCAACTTGTTCCCAACTGCTATTTGATGCTGATATTTTGATCTACTCCCATGAATAAAGAATGTTCTGAAATGGTGTCTAGAATGGTGAATCCTTTCCAGGTTTTCAATTTACTTTGCCCCAAACCATCACTATCTATTGCAGCTATGGCCTTATAAAATATATTTCTTAAATAATAAGACTTGAAATTTGAAGTTACTCCTTGATCCATGGGCTGAATTTTTAGTTACTCCTTGATCCATGGGGTTATGTTAGCAGGCATGAAAACAGCATTAATCTCCTTGTGCATCTCCATCAGAGCTCTTGGGTGATGAGGAAGTACACTGTCAGTGCTATATTTTGAAAGGAATCCTTTCTTCTGAGCAAATCTCAACAGTGGGCTTAAAATATCCAGTAAAGTCCACTATAAAGAGATTTCCTGCCATCCAGGCTTTGTTTTTCCATTTGTATACCACAGGCAGACTAGATTTAGTATATTTCTTAAGAGCTCTAGGATTTTTGAAATGGTAAATAAGCACTGGCTTCAATTTAAAGTCAACAGCTGCATTAGCCCATAACAAGAGAGTCAGCCTGTCTTTTGAAACTTTGAAGCCAGGCATTGACTTCTGCTCTCGAGCTATTTGAAAGTCCTGGATTGGCATATGTTTGGTTCTGTCTGTGTTGAAAACCTGTTGTTCCATGTAGCCACCTTCACCCATTGCCTTAGCTAGATCGCTGGGTAACTTGCTGCAGCTTCTACATCAGCACCTGCTGCTTCACCTTGCACCATTACATTATGGAGACAGCTTCTTTCCTTGAACCTCATGAAGCAAACTTTGCCAGCTGCAAACGTTTCTTCTGCAGAGTCCTCATCTCTCTTAGCCTTCGTGAAGTTAAAGAGAGTTGGGGTCTTTAATCTGGATTAGGCTTTGGCTTAAGGGAATGTTGAGACTGCTTTGATGTTTTATCTAACTTGCTCCAAATCAGCAAAAAAAAAAACCTGTTTTGCTTTATCATCATTCCTGTGTTCGCTGGAACAGCACTTTTAATTTCTTTCAAAAACTTTTCCTTTGTATTTACGACTTCCCTAACTGGTGCAAGAGGCCTAACTTTTGTCCTATCTCAGCTTTTGAGATGCTTTCCTCACTAAGCTCAGTCATGTCCAGCTTTTGATTTAACGTGAGAAATGGGTGCCTCTCCCTTTCACTTGAACACTCAGAGGCCACTGTAGGGTTATTAATTGGCCAACTTTCAATATTGTTGTGTCTCAAGGAACAGGCAGGCCCAAGGAGGAGGAGAGAGACAGGGGTAGGGGCCAGTCGGTGGAACATTCAGACCACAGGCAACATTTATTAATTTCACTGTCTTATATGGGCATGGTTTATGGCACCCCAAAACAATTACAATGGTAAACATCAAAGATTACTGATCACAGAATACCAGAACAGGTATAATAATAACAAAAATGTTTTAAATATTGCAAGATTTACCAAAATGTCATAAAGTTACAAGAAGGGAACACATGCTGTTGGAAAAATGGCACTGAAAGACTTGCTCAATGCAGAGTTGCCACAAACTTTAAATTTGTAAAAATCACAATGCCGGAGAAGCGTAATAAAGTGAAACACAATAAAATGTGGTATGCCTGCATTCTCCTACTTTGTACCGTGAATATTAGGTCACTAAACTCATACAAATAGAAACCTGAATATATATAAAAGTAAGCAATAGAAACTAATCACAGGCTGGGTATGGTGGCTCACACCTGTAATCCTAGCCCTCTGGGAGGCCAAGGCAGGCGGATCACTCAAGGTCAGGAGTTCAAAACCAGCCTGAGGAAGAGCGAGACCTCGTCTTTACTAAAATAGAAAGAAAGTAATTGCCCAACTAAAAAATATATAGAAAAAATTAGCCAGGCATGGTGGCGCATGCCTACAGTCCCAGCTACTCGGGAGGTGAGGCAGGAGGATGGCTTGAGCCCAGGAGTTTGAGGTTGCTGTGAGCTAGGCTGACGCCAGGACACTCTAGCCCAGGCAACACAGTGAGACTCTGTCTTTAAAAAAAAAAAAAAGAAAGAAAAGAATCACAGGACAATCTCATTTGATATGTTATGATAGGCAGCCCAAAAGTAATTATTATAGAAGATGACTAACTTGTCTACAAGTTTCACAAGGACCTCGGTGACAACGCTGAGAACATCTATGGATTCCACATTCAAGTACTTTGTCACAACTGTCTCCACAAGTTGGTACATCTTCTGTACAAGGCAAAGAAAATTCTAAAAACAGACAAAAAGTCACCATTAATAATAGGATACATTATTAAGCACTAACAAAGTGTCGCATTCTTTGGGCTCCCTGAGGTACAACAGCCCTTTCAGATGATGAATTTTTACGTCTACACAATTATTGGGAAAATTAACTTTAATGAAAATAACCCCTAACATTTGTTAAGTTTATGCTTTTTTTAAAAAAAAAAAAAAGCATGGGGGCTCAGGCTGAGTCAGAGTCAGGAGGATCATTTGAGGCCGAAAGTTGTGAGACCTCCATCTCTACAAAAAAAAGAAAAATTAGCAGGGCATGGTGGCGCGTGCCTGTAGTTCTAGCTACTAAGGAGGCTGAGGCAAAAAGGATCACTTGAACCCAGGAGTTTGAGGTTGCAGTGAGCTGTGATCGTGCCACTGCACTGCAACCTGGGCAACAAAGCAAGACCCTGTCTCAAAAAAATTTTAAGAAAGGAAAAGAAGAAAAGAAATTTGAGACAAGTTACCACTCGAGAAACACATTTTTATGGGCTATCTACTTCAGACATAGTCATCTAAAGAAATGAGTAAGACTACATAAACCTCTATAAAGAATTTCTGTAATATATAGATGTATTCAAAAATCTACTCTTAACAACCTCAAAGTAAAAAAAGAAAGACGTAGAGTTTAAAATATTTTAAAACTCACATTTAATACTGTGACAAGCATTAGAAATAATCTTATATATGTGATGCAGTTATTTGTGGAGACTCCAGGAAGCCAACTTAAAGTGCAATCTACTACACTTTTCTCTAAAAGCAGGCAAAATAAATTCAGCTATAACCTGTAACACAATAGTGACAATGGCACAGCCTCCCCCATTATCAGTAACTCCCACCAGAGTGGTACATTTGTTATAACTGATGAACTTACACTGATATATAATCACTGAAAAGATTATAGTTTATATCAGCGTGCACTCTTGGTGTAGTGCATTTTATGGATTTGGACAAGTGTATGACATGTATCTACCATTATACTATCATGCAAAGGAGTTCCACTGCCCTGAAAAATCTTCTGTGTTTTGCCTATTCATCTCTCCCTCTCCTCAACCCCTGGCAACCCCTGATCTTTTTCACTATCTCTATAGTTTTGACTTTTCCAGAACATCATATAGTTGAAGTTCTATACATAATATGCAGCCTTTTCAGATGGGCTTCTTTCATTTAGTAACATGCATTTAAATTTCCTGGAGGGTGCCTTTTCAATGTCTTTTCATGGCTTGATAGTTCATTTCCTTTAAAAAAAAAAAATGTCTTACTTGACTTTTGACATGGACAGAACCTTTTCCCAGATCGAGGACATTCTCCACAAGCACCAACATGGCAAACTTGCTCACACGTATGATTACCACATGGCAGTGTTTTTCCACATACCTAAAATAAATGCAATAAGCACTAATGAAGGATCTGAAAATTAACAAAAAAAACTTTATTCAAGACATACTCACTTTTTCAATCACAAATAAGTAAGTTCTTTATGCTCCCCAAATTATTATAATTTATATCTTACCCAAGTGTCATATATATGTATACAGATATACACATACATACATATATATGTATGTGCATATACATACATATAATTCCTACACACCAAGTATATTTTAAAAAATACAATACAAGAAAAAAAATACACACAGCTTCATACTGCCATCCGCCAAAGATCTGCAAGTAGCAGTATAACCAATGCCAATTCTAGGACAAAACAATCTATGAAAATCAATCTTACTTCCTCAACTGGCCCAACTCAAAAAGGAGTAAGAAGTGTTGGCTGAAGAGGAGAAACAGAGGAAAAGGAAAAGTGCTGGCAAGAAAGTAGGTACAAATGTACTGAACACAAAATACAACAAATAGCCATTGCTTTGAAAGATATTTTCCGATAATTAAAATGTTACTAAGAAGTAACTTCCTGAAACATGACACCTTATATCTAACTAAACCTAATCAGCATTTCTGCTGTACACGTGTTTATACTGTACGTGTTCTTTCACACCCACCCCTCAAAACGCATACACATACACCTACTTGATCGCAGTGCCACAGGGGACTCGCACAACTTCGCTCAGCTACTTTTTTGCCACAGACACACTTCTGTCTACTAACTCTTGGGCAGGGCTGACAACTTCCTAAAACCAGAATGACAAATTAGCACAGAGACATTATGACAGCAAGAGAGACTGCTTTGACTGTCACTTAAAAAGTCCGAACACCTAACTGGTATGGCCTTTTACCTGCATGACAAGGGTTTTCACATTTATGCTGTCCGCAAAGCAACTTCCGTCCACATGGCAGCTGACAGGACCATTCCTTGGCGCTGCACCTACGAGGGACAGGTTTGGCTTTCTTACAGTAACAAGTAGTCGAGACCATCTTTGGGCAAGGAGGGCATGGACCTAGAATCCAACGAAAGGAAAAAAAAATCTGAAGTCAAAAACTAACACTTTCAATTTCTATACCTATCAATAACTTCTAGAGCCTTCTTTACTGACACTTTAAAAAAAAGGCAATCTCTTTCAATATTTTCTCAAGGCAAACTTAAGCTCTGAATTCAACTTTCACAATTTGTTTTGCCTCAACAAAAGAAGAAATAATAACAATTAAAAATGTAATCTATAACTCACCTGGATGACAGAGGAGTAAACACTTATGGCCACAGGGCGGTTTAAATTCTCTTTCACATACTTGACCACATGAATGAGGCACAAGCCATGGATCTAAAGGTGGATCTTCTACTTTTCCACAATAGCAATAGTACCTACTGGGTGTTTCAGATCGTTTGTATTCAAACCTACATTTTGGACTACAAAGAAGAATAAAATTATTAAAGTTAATTTCACCTTTAAAAGCAAAATGAAAGCCAGGATATAAATATACTTAGTATGTTCTGTACAATTAGTTTTATGCTAAAGAATTCCCTACTGCATCTTATTAAAATCTATTTCAACCAACTAGAATAATAAGTACAATATAAATTACTGAGATGATAGAACTGTTTTGTACCTGTATTGTCAAATACAGTAGCCATTAGCTACTAAGGCTAGTGAACACCTAAAATAAACATAATGCTCACAAGTGAAAAGGAACAAGATTTATTTTATAGTTTTTATTTTATAATTTATAAAATTTATTTTATAATTATATTTTATAACTATAAAATAATTATTTTATAATTTTTTAAAATGTAAATAGCCACATGTGACTAATTGCTATGAATTAAGCAGCACATATCTAAAATACAGTTACAAAAAGAAGGCAACATTAGCTTTCTCTACTAACCACTTGAAATTTATTCTTGAGATATTTACCCTGAATTTTATAAGTTCAATTTTTTAAAGTTTGGTTGTATGGTTTACAAATAAAATATTTTAGCAAAAGCAAACAAAAGAGAGAAGTCAGGTTATAGGTAGGCAACACACCCAGAAACATGACTAAAATCTAGAATTAAGGGGGAAAAACTTGAAAGTAAATAATTTCATAATTCCTAACATGTAATACAAAATAGATATAATTCAAATATACCTAAGTCAAAGAAAATATTGTTTCATATTTCACTTCAAATATTGTTTCATATTCTCTGCTAAAGCAGAAAGATTTTTAGCCTACAACTTTAAAATGAGTTTTGGTAGAAGTGTCAACCTTCAGCTCTAACAAAATTCACTTGTAGATCATCATAGATCATTTCATTCTCAAAAGATGCTCTGGCCCTATCTCCTAGACAAATGAGTATACTATGCCAAAGTAACAGTTTCATGTCATCACTTAAATTTCTTTTGCATCATGCACTATATATATATATTTTTTTTTTTTTTTTTTTTTTTTGAGACAGGGTCTCACTTTGTTGCCCAGGCTAGAGTGAGTGTCATGACGCATGACGTCAGCCTAGCTCACAGCAACCTCAGACTCCTGGGCTCAAGCGATCCTACTGCCTCAGCCTCCTGAGTAGCTGGGACGACAGGTATGCGCCACCATGCCCGGCTAATTTTTCTATATATATTAGTTGGCCAATTAATTTCTTTCTATTTATAGTAGAGATGGGGTCTCACTCTTGCTCAGGCTGGTTTCGAACTCCTGACCTTGAGTGATCCTCCTGCCTCGGCCTTCCAGAGTGCTAGGATGACAGGCGTGAGCCACTGCACCCAGCCCACAATATATTTTCATTGTCATGGGGCACATGCTCTGTTTCCAAATAAATAACACATGAACATTCTAAATAACCAAAAGATATTTGTTCTTATAATTAAAAGGCAAAAAGTAAATAACCAAGCCTCATCTGGAATAAATAATTGGCATTTTGTTGGATGAGTTAAATTCTCCTTTACTAAAACTGTTTACTATTCCTTTAAGCTAGTATGGAGGGGGACATGTATTTTTTGATAAGCTTAGATATGGATGGCTAATAGGCAACTCAACACACCTTAACACTGCCCACCAGCACTGAGACCAAACTGCTCTAGTGAAGAAAATAAGTGCAAACATGTGAGTTTTATTTAAAATAATGGGATACCAACAATGAAAAGTAATTATGCTATATCTTGTTCATAAGCAATATCTTAGAAGAACCATGTATTTTTAAATTTTTATTTTCAAAAAACAACTAATTTAAGCCATTAACACAAGTTCTAGCTTCATCCTGATAAGCATGAAACAAATGGGTTCTCAACCCAAATAGTCATTTATTTTAATTTTTTAAAAATATGAAATATGGAATGCAAAGGATAACTAACTGTACAGTTGCTTAAATTTCTGTTCCTTTTAGATTTAGGAGAAGAGTAACAGTTCATTTTTCTTTTAACTGGTACTTTCTATCCCTATGGCAAAATGATTACTTAAAATAAAAGTGACAAGAGTGAGAAAAAACACATATGATGTTTAAATCTCTAAAATTAATTCTAACTAAAGTCAAAATATCTGGTTTAATTCTGTACTTTTTAAATACTAAAATCCCTGCACCACAAACAAATAGTATACAGTAGCAAAACAAATACAGACTTGGAAATTTTAAACTGTTTCAAAAATGTGTGCATTCAATGAAGAGAAAAACAAATACCATTTCTAAAAGCAATATCATAAGAAAGAACTCAGCTGGGAGAATAGAAAAAGCACTGAATTTAGAATTCGGAAATCCTAGGTCTCAAATCCTGACTCCAGCACTTACATTAAGAGTAAGAGGAGCCTTAATACATCATTTCCTTTCAGTTAACTTCAAATATTCTGACTGGTAACAGGGGGATTAAATGTCTCCCACACTGCTGAGAATTATTTTTACAATGTAACTAGCATGCCTAAAATATTTCTAAAACTACACCACCACAATTTTACAGATGTACCAGTACTATCCAGATTTTGTGAGACCTGAATCTTATACAATTTGGGGTACTTCTGTTAAGAAAAAGAACACAAAAATATACAAACACAAAATTAGTTACAAAGGTTATAAAATGTGAACACACGGAGACCCGAAGTCTATGCTTTGTTACCTTGACAGTAAATCTACCTTTCCAGGCTGCCATTATGGGTAAATTTCTTATTGTCTTTATTTAGCAGAGATATAAAATTTCTATTCCTCAACTCTTTCTGGAAATATAACAGAAGTTCAGGATCAAATAATCATCAATAATAAACAAAACTAACAAAATAAATGTAGAAAAATAATGCTATTAGATAATATAGGCCTGCAGTTTTGAGATTTGGAGAATAAAATTAGGAAGCCTACAATCAAAATATGTTAGATGACAGTCTTGTACAAAGTGATAATAATGTATACTGAGAGCAATTCTAAGTGAGACGTACTAGAATTACGAATGATTCTCAGTCCTACAGAAAAGTCCTTTAAAAAGATAATTAGGGAGTTGTCTTGCACAGGAAAAAATAAAGTCTGAATGATTTATAAATTATTGAAAGGAACTAATAGTTATAAAAATTGAGGTGAAAGGCCAGGTGAGGTGACTCACGCCTGTAATCCTAGTACTCCTGGGAGGTCGAGGTGGGCGGATTGCTCGAGCTGAGTTCAAAACCAGCCTGAGCAAGAGCGAGACCCCGTTTCTACTATAAATAGAAAGAAATTAATTGGCCAACTAATATATATAGAAAAAATTAGTCAGGCATGGTGGCGCATGCCTGTAGTCCCAGCTACTTGGGAGGCTGAGGCAGGAGGATCGCTTGAGCCCAGGAGTTTGAGGTTGCTGTGAGCTAGGCTGATGCCATGGCACTCACTCTAGCCTGGGCAACAAAGCCAGACTCTGTCTCAAAAAAAAAAAATTGAGGTGAAAAGAGCCATTATCAAGATTCCACATCATCACAAATCAAAGGACTAACTGAAAGCCCAACATGGAGATTGAAACCACCAATAAAGTAATTTGTAATCTACAATTTTCATTTATTCTACAATTTAATAATCCAACTAACTAGAAAAAGTTACCAAGGCCAGGGATAATCTCTCTTTCCAAAATCATCATCTGTCAGAGAAGATACAAGAAACTGGCTGTCTTTAGCCCACTTCTGGATACAGGGCATATGGAATATACAGAAACATCCTGAACAGCTCCAAACCTAAAACAGAGGTATCAGAAATTAATATGTATGCAATGATTTTTCTTTGATTCCATAATACTTTAAAATAAGCATCACACTAAATTATTTTCAACAGCTACCTACAGATTAAAGGAACAAAATCTTTCCTTTCATAATAGGAGAAATGTTCTTTATAAAAACGTATTTAAGTGTAGAACACTTTAAAGAAAAATATTATCAATCACCTAGATTCATTCAGCTAAAAATAACTACTGCTAACATTCTGTAAGGTCTCCAATTTTTTTATACATCTATTTCATTTTTTTAAAAATGAGGTCATACTGTTCTGACTGAAATACAATTATAGTCTTTTTTTAAAACACAGTATAAGCATTACCCCATCAAATATGTTTATACAACATGCTATTTATAGCTATACAGTACATCAGACAGACTTTATAGCTATACAGTACATCAGACAGACTTAGGTAGTATAATTTAACAAATCTCTTGTTAGATGTTTAGGTCATTTCCAATTTTAAACAACACCTACAAGAGAAACATTAAACATAAATATGTACATATATCTCTATATAACCCTTTTGTTATGTAAAACCTATTAATCTAGAACTTAACAGTGCTAAATTCTAAAACCTAGGTAAGCCACACTGAGACTATATATAAATTAACATGTTAACTGGCATGTTATTTAACTCATGCTAGTTTTGAGCCCGGGGCTTCATGAAGCATATTTAACTCCCAAGTCTCTACCTTGGGAGGCTTGTGGTGTGTAGGCAACTCACACTGCCATGCTATAGCATGCAAGTTATGTGATGGGTGGCCCCCTGAGCAAAACCCTGTAGTCAATTCATGAAAATCTTACTTCTTGTTGTTCTTATTGTTACAATTAATATTGACAATTTAATTTCATATAACTTATGCACAGAAAACAATTAAAAAAACAGATTTCTCATTAAATTAGAAAGGGTCATTTTGTTTTTGAAGTTTTTATGGCCCAGAGGAAAAAATTTTTTTTCCTAATGTGGCTGTCAGTCAATGTGGTAAAAACCTAAGGAATTATTTTTTTTAATTTCTTTATTTTAATATCTGAATTAATTTTTTAATTAATACTGCCAATACTTTAATATAATTGATAAAAATCAGTTTTCCTTTTCTTAGAACATTCTACAACTGTTTGATAAGATTAGACATGTAGCATATTTCATAAGCTGGCAACAGCATTTAAAAAAAAAAAAGCCAATTTCTTAGTTTGGATTACCCCAAAAGCAATACCTGAGGTAAGAACTCAGATGCAAGAGCGAGGGGACAAGATGCGGGAGAAGAAATGTCAATAAACGGTACCTTGTTCAGGTGGTTACCACTACGGGGCACAGAAGTTGAATCCTGCAGAGGACTCTCTGTAGAAGTCCATACCTTGGACCACCTCAGCCCCACTCCCTAATGGAGAGGAGACTGAGGCTTTCATCTACCCCTTCCCTGCGCTGGAATATTGCCCCAAGGGGCATTGACTCCCCAGACCCTCTGTACTGGCTGGATCGATTCCCAAGGAGAAAATGTTGAGGTGGGAAAAAACCACACACAGCAAATATTTAAAGTGGAATTGTATCCACCACGTGCAGAGAGACTACTCACCCACTGCAGTGGAAGTCAGAGTAGGACAACCAGATATCGCCAACGAAAGGCACCTGCGTCTGCTCTACTGTCCTATCCAACCTGAGCATGTTAAATTTCTGATCCACTCCACCTGACCAACCCATTTCACATGGCTTGATTTTCTTTCTCTGGCAACTCTGCTAAAATAGCAGTGGATTAATCTGATGTCTAAATGTTGAGTCTATCATATTTAGTCATCACTACCCCTTCATTACTTCATTAATGCCCTTTTAAATTTACATATAGATATCCTTACCATTAGGTCATAGCTCCTCAAGGACATAAGTTACACCTGAATCTCTCTCTCCCCAACAACCCTGGCCACTTCCCATGATGCCTTTGACACAGGAGAAACTGACTAATAAACCAGTAAGTGTCACTGTCAAGCTCCACTTCCCTGAAGGCAGGGACCATATCTGTTTTGATAAACCCACAGAAAATAAAGAAATATATAGTGCATTTTAACATTTCATATTTGTGGGAATCTCTAAAGTACTGATACTAAAAACATGCTTTATCAAATTGACACGTGCATTAAAACTAAAAATTCTTGCTTTAATTAATAGTGCTAAAAATATCAAATGCTCATTTAAAGGCAATTTTTTTTAAATTACAGATTTACAAAATGATCGATTCATATATAAAATTCTCAAATGAAACATTTTTAAACAAAAATAAGCAAAAAAGAATAACTACAGGTTAAGAATTATAAATGCAAAATAAGAGATTTAGGGGAGATATATTAAAGTAGATAAGGAGAAAAACTTACTGCTTGGTTTCTCTTCACTGAAGCGATACAAATTAAGCATGTCATAGCCCCTGCTTGAAAAGCTTCATTTACATATTGTTTTGTTCGCTCTAATTCTCGTATATCTCCATCTTAAAATTTAAAAATTGAAAATCTCATGTTAAACAACATCTGAAAATAACACAAACTCACTAAGCACATGATGTGAGAGATGTCTAGCAATATCAACTGTCCAGATTGTAGCTGAAAAATGTAACTAATGAGCCACCATGAGGTCACAAAGTTTATGCGTTATATCTTATGTACTTGGTTCAAAAACAGTACCTCAGCTCTCGCCCAGCATACACTTGCTTTTTTTGCTGTTTTGGTCCTTAATAAAAGTGGGGGGGGGGGCGGGCAGAGTCACAGGCAAAAGCAGCAAGATGGGATGTCATAAGGGAAAACACATGGAAAAACTAAATGTGAAGGGAACTGAAAAGTCAAAACTAAGTAGAACTGGTTAGTATAAATATAAGCACAAGTGTGTGTGTCTGTTTAGCATGTAGCACACTTGTAATAAAAACCTGTTGAATGAAAAGACCTTGAGGTCATTCCAGTATGATAACTACATTTCATTATAATCAGTACGATAACTACATTTCATTATACTATGTTCTGCTTTAAAAAGGTAGCATAAATGTTTTAGAAAAAAAATTACTAGACAGTGTTGTAATTATGGAGCACTTATTTGCTACATGCTGGACTGTCAGTATTTCACTAGGATTAAATGAACTATTATCTTCATTTCACAGATGAGAAAACTGAGGCACAGAACAAAATTAAGTAACTTCAGTTTGTCGACAAAGTGAGCCCTCTTAACCTCCACGCTATGTTGTAGAGAAGTTACTGCAAGAAGGTCCAAGAAATAACAAGTGACAGCAAAATCAAAGACAGAACAAGTACCCTAAAGCACAAATGATACCAAAAGGGCAGTTATCTGAGTCACTTTTAGTATACGAGAAATAAGCCTGTATGCCGTTAGTACAATAAAGATCGTTCAATAGAGGTTAACTAAGGTGCCAAGAAAAGTAGATTAATAGCGTAAACTACCGTAAGTATAGAACTTACCACGGCGATAACTTGGTTCAAATCAAAATTTAAGTTGCCAGAAAGAAAAAATGAATAAATAAGATATTTTGATAAGTCTTTAATATCTAAAAATCACCTAAGTAAACACAGCATTTATGAAAGCTTGCCCTGCTACAATGTTATTTATTCATAGTATATTAAACAAAATACATGTGAAGGTACTCTCAAAATTATAAATTATAAAAACATTAAAGACAATTGCTTTAATTCAAATAAACATTGAAGTTTTAAAAATCTCCTTAAGAGCAGAATTTATAATCACATTGTGTGCTTATTTTGCTTTTCAACATAGCTTTCACCCATACATAACATTTTAAATTTCATCTAATTTAACAGTAAAACCATATAAAATGGGATTTAAGAACAAGATAGAATAGGCTTTCACAAAATAAAACCTAACCTTATATTTATAAAATGTATGTACAATTTGTTTAAAACTTAAAGTCTGGCTTCAGCAATAGAGTACACTGCCCAGCATGTCACAGTGGATAGCATGGCATTTGAAGTCATACATTTTTAAAAGATCACCCTGGCAACTGAAGAAAAAGGGTACGCAGAGACCAAGACTGGAAGCAGGAAGTGCCAGTTAAGAGTCAGTTTTAGTAGACAAAGCAAAAAATGACCTTGAGCAAGTTACCTAATGTATCTCAGTTTTCTCATCTGTGGATTTAATCCACACATTAAACCGCAGTAAAGGTTTGAACTAGGCAATACTTTTATTTTAACTCGTGCTCAACTCTGCTGCGCTTCTGATTCTGTCGTACTGACAGCCTTGAATCCTGACATCACTCGCCTTACATTCCTCCAGAAGGCACCATGTAATAACGAAGGAGCAGGACAATATGGAGAAGAGGAGAGCTAATGTGGGCTTAAGATGTGGGGCCTTATGATCAAGGGAAGACACAGATACATTTTTTTTTAAAAGACAAGGAAGAAGAAAAGAGGCTATGGTAGAAAATCTCTAATAATCAAGCCACAAAAGTATATTAAACATTATAGCAAACAGATATACAGAATATACTACACGACAGGTACTACTGTTAGCACTATAATACTTACACATGTTGACTTATTCCATCCTAACAACTCTAGAGTTTTTACTACTATAATACCGAATAAGAAAATGAGCCCCTGAGATATTAAATAATATGTCAAACATGATACAGCCAAAGAGCAGAGCCAAGAGCCAAATCTTGGCAGTCTGGCTCAAGAGTCAATGTTCTTAACCATTGTATAATGTGCTTTTTCCCCATAAATAGGTGTAAGAGCAGCAGTCTAATCTACCCCAGAATTTTTCTGCTTTTACACAGAAAATGCAATCAGCCCGGTAATGGCTCTAAAGCTAAGTAAAATCATTTTAAACCCAGCTCTGCCAATTAGTAATCATGTACTCTAGGAAAGTCACTGCTCCTCTGTAGGAGACAGGGTCTCGCTTTGTTGCCCAGGCTAGAGTGAGTGCCGTGGCGTCAGCCTAGCTCACAGCAACCTCCAACTCCTGGGCTCAAGCGATCCTCCTGCCTCAGCCTCCCAAGTAGCTGGGACTATAGGCATGCACCACCATGCCCGGCTCATTTTTTCTATATATATTAGTTGGCCAATTAATTTCTTTCTATTTATAGTAGAGATGGGGTCTCGCTCTTGCTCAGGCTGGTTTCAAACTCCTGACCTCAAGCAATCCACCCTCCTCGGCCTCCCAGAGTGCTATGATTACAGGCATGAGCCACCGAGGACTTTTTCATACCCCTCTCAATCTATTCTTCATTTTATCTCTTTCATCATGTTAACTGTGTCTTGAAGTCTATTTCATTTATTGATTTTTATTTCCTTATTTTATATCTATTCACAACATCCGATTTTCATGCATATTTTAAAGCTAAATCTCCTTAGGTTTGTTGTGTACGTTCACATTATCTATTGTTTATATCTGAGTTGTTCTTAAAGCCACATTTGTTTATGTGAGAGAGAGCCAACGTGATGTTGCTGTGTACCACTTTGCATTAAGTATAAAAATAGATTATTTTAAATGTAAATATTCCTAAGTTTTCTGCATTTTATAAAGTCGTTATTAGAAACATTCTTGCATGTAATATTAACATCAATAAGGGTAAAAATCTCTAATAATCAAGCCACAAAAGCTATATTAAACATTATAGCAACAGATATACAGAATATACTACACGACAGGACACTGTTAGCACTATAATACTACACATGTGACTTATCCATCCTAACAACTCTAGAGTTTTTATAACTAAATACCGAATAGAAAATGAGCCTGAGATATTAAATAATATGTCAAGACATATAACAGCCAAAAGCAGAGCCAGACCAAATCTGGCAGATCTGCTCAAAGTCAATGTTCTTACCATTGTATGAAGTGCTTTTTCCCCATATAATAGGTGTAAGAGCAGCAGTCAATCTACCCAGAATTTTTCTGCTTTACAAGAAAAATGCAATCAGCCCGGTAATCTGCCTAAAAGCTAAGTAAAATCATTTTAAACCCAGCTCTGCCAATTAGTAAATCATGACTCTAGGAAGTCACTGCCCTCTTAGAGCGTTTCCTAGAAAACTTCTAAGTTTTCTTCTGGTTATAATAGGATACTAAAGTAAGAAAAAGAACTGAGGGAGCGAATAAACACATATTACTAATACAAAGGTTATATAACGCATAATAACATAATCACAAATATATCTCGA